GGAAAGATTCAAAGAAATTCGATATATCCAAATCCATCTCTTTCCAGCCTTACTCTCCCAGATTCTGGCAATTCATGTTTTAAGAACTTCCAGAGGGAGAGCTTCTATTGCACCACCATGTTGTATATAGCTGTTAGCGTACCAATTTGCTGTCTGTTTAGCTAATATCTTTTCAGCCTCCTTTAAAGGCTAGCTGCTAATACTAATATTCAGTATTCTGGATTTGATGCTCTGAATTAAGTCAAAGGGAATTTTCTCTTGTAGTGTTTCATAGCATAGGACTTCTCCTATCTTGCTCCATAGCGGTTTCTTCAAAATAGGATCTTGAGAACAGAGACATCTTCAGAGAGAAAGAAAGGAAGTACAGCAAGGTGGTTTTTATATAGGAAAATTAATAAGATTGATAGAGACTTTTAGGTATCAGGAGTAGAACCATAGAAACAGGGAGGACAAATCTGATTCCTTTTGTCAATCTATTTAGGAAAATATCTGCATTTTATATGTGAGAAAAATCAGACACCAGTAGTGGTAGATGGATCTCTGTTATATGTCCATATCTTACCTGTGGCAAGGGAAAAAACCCAGCGAGAAAGGTTGGAGGAAACTACAAAAAAGATTTGTTCTGGTTTGTATTTGTGAAAAGACGAGGACAAATCTGATTCCTTTTGTCAATCTATTTAGGAAAATATCTGCATTTTATATGTGAGAAAAATCAGACACCAGTAGTGGTAGATGGATCTCTGTTATATGTCCATATCTTACCTGTGGCAAGGGAAAAAACCCAGCGAGAAAGGTTGGAGGAAACTACAAAAAAGATTTGTTCTGGTTTGTATTTGTGAAAAGACTTCATTCCTGAAAGTGTTGGAATGCCAGCAGCGACACCCACAGAAAGAATAACTTGAACTTAACTTCCAGACAGTGTGTTCAGACTCTGCTGCTACGTTATGGGGCAGGAGCACGCTATGTATGAACTGCAGAACTGCAGCACATAAATTATATGCTGTTAAAATTGTGTAGTCTGAAAAAAGTCTGTTACAGATATACAGTTGGACAGCTGCTCTGGTATGATGCAGCAGTTTTGTGTTGTACCATAAGCATTATTTTTGGATGTGAACATGGCTTAACTAGCTCAGGGAGGATCACTCTGGTTTGAGTGATGCCATGTTGGCGCTGTGTCAGGACAAAGGTTTTTGTGAAGTTTCTCTCCAGCCAAATGTTCCTCCACTTGCTGCTGTAATGAGGAAGAAGACAACACGATCAGAAACCTCTGTTCTGCAGCAATCCTCAGCTCTGTTTTTGGCTCTTTGGGACCACTGAAAAGCAACATCTACAAGAACAGCTTTTGGATGGGACCAGCCCTTCATAGAAAAGCGTCAGGATCAGCTTTAAATTATATTTTATTTTGACTATTGAGCTACAACTTAGGTTTTAGTTCATTGCTGAAGGTATTACTCTCTTCCTTTGGTAATGGGGGGGGGAAAGGTGTGGGAGCATTCCCCAACACAACTGATATCCCTTTTTCACATTTAAAAGAAGTCGGTTAATATTGAGAAGGTTTTCACTTAATTATCCATTAAGAATTTTCTCCTTCATGCTACATATATATTTGTATATTTATTCCTAGATACAGTACATGCTTTTGTTTTTTGGGTTAGAAGTGATCATGTGATCAAATGAGGAAGATGTAGAGCTCTCTAATCCATCCCCAATCACCACATAACTTTCCCAGTATATACTTTAATGCCTTGTCTGGTCTGGTCAATACAGCCATTAATTAGAAGGCACTTATTTGTGCCTTGAGTTGTAACTAATACATGCTAATTTGATAAAATTGGGAAAAGAGAATGTTGTATTTTGCTTGATTTTATGGGGTTTTTTTGTGAAATAGATTTTAAAACTAAATTGATGACAGAACACAGGCACAAACCAAATGATGGGCATGTCTGAATGCTTCCAAATTTAGGGGAGCTGGTTCCAAGTTTTCTGGGTGGCCTTTAAAATGTCTAAATTTCCAAATGTAGATCTGATGAACTTTAAAGAAGGTTCAGTTCAGGTGCAGAGCTGAATTTTATGCTTTGGGTTCATCTCTTGGGCAATTAAGCATAACGTAATAACATCCTATAGTGAGTGAGTGCATATATTAGCTAAAATGTTATCAACCACGAGGGTGATTAGATGGAAAATTACCATTGACTACACATATGTCACAACTAGCTTTCGGTTATATTCTTTAACCTGTTTTACTGCCTCTTCTGGAGCTGTAAGAGTAAACACCTGCTTAAAAAGGTAATAAAAAATTAACATGAAATTGTGTCAAATTCAGGAGTGTCACCAGAGGGGACCTTAGAAAAATACATTTTTCTTGTCTATCTAGTTTTCCAAGAAATGACAAGCTAGCATATGGTTTCAATTTTTGAGGTCAAAGTTATAATTTTTGTTCGCTAAGTTACATAGGAGAAAACTTTGAGGAATCTTTCATATTGCCAAATATGTAAAGGGCAGCGATGGAAGAAGAAAACAGAGCTGTGGAACAAAGTAGTTCATGCACGGAAGAGAGATTTATCTTGGCTCAGCAGAGCGATATATAAACTTTCTTTTTGCTGGTGACTTCAGAGTAGACTACATAAGAGAGGCAGTTAATAATTTCTGGCTTTGAGCTACACCTCTTATTTAAATGCATTCTTTTAAATTTTTAAACAAGAGTCAATGAATTAAAACAATAGTGACTATTTGTCTGGGTATAAGCTAATGGTATCATTTGCTTATAAAATTCTTGTGTTTCAAAAATTACAGCTCTTAGAAATGTATGTGGTTTTATGTTTGATTTCTCCAAGAGCCAGTTTCTTAGGGTTGCATTTATGAAAATGTAGTAAAAGGCTCTTATTAAGAGTATAGATGGGTTCCTGTTCTGTGGGTAAATACATATGGTCTGAAGACCTGCCACAGCTGAAATCAAAGGCAAAATGTCTAGTGATTTCATAGAACCTGGAATTAACCTACCTTCATATATATATATCTTGCTTTAAATTTGTGTTTTTCAGTGAAGGTCTAGGAGGGGAAAAAAAAACACCCACTAGCTAGAAATTTTCGGTTGTCATATTTTATGGATTTCAACTTTTCGTGTTGTAGCACTTGAGCGTATTGATATGACATTGTTTAGCTGTGGCTTAGAAATGTACTTTCATTGTGTAACTGACGGTAAGAAACTGGCTGTAACAGTTTTCCTGTATTTATAGTAGTAATAAAGCAGATCACATAAACACAAGTGGTTTTCACACTAGAAATAAGTAAAATCATCTGAAGTTAATTTTAAGTGTATCAACAGGAGAACAGTTGCCAGCTCTTGAGTGACCCGTTACTTTTACTGTTTCTTTCTAGGGGAATTTGGGGGGAGGAGGGAGACTGTTTATAGTTACAGTATAATAAAAGATGCATTATATATTACATCACAGTGCATAAAAGTCAAATGTATAGGTCATGTTAGAGCATACATTACAGAATTATGTATAGTGCATGATTATTATAATGTGAAAAGACAAGTTGTTATCATTTTCTGTGTTGTTTTGCAGCAAGCTGCGACCTTTTATTCTGTTGTGTTAAAAGCAGATAATGGCAGTTGAAACAACCTACTCTCTCTTCTAAACCGATAAAAATGGCATTATTTTGTGATTAAACGGAAACCAGAAGAAATAGCGAAGGGGCCTCAAGCAGCTAGATTATGCTATTCTAGAATAATGACTTTTTCCTTAACATATTCAGAAGTCTCCTGCTTTTTCTAGATTCTGGTCAGCTAGAACAGCAACTTGAGGAGGCCAGCACTGCAAGGCGGGAGTTGGATGATGCTTCCAGACAAATAAAGGCTTTCGAGAAACAGGTCAGAACGCTGAAGCAAGAGAGGGAAGATCTTAATAAGGTAAAAGCATTTTGTCAGCAACTCTTCTAAACCCTAAAGACTATTTTATTTTTGTTCATTTTGCTTGAAATAACTTTCAAGTGTAAAACTAATGAGGAAACAACAAATGTGTAGCGTGACCTACTTTGCTTTCTGCCCCTTTTTTGAAGACAAGGACATTATTTAATGCATTGTATGTATGACTGCTGGGTGGTCCTAGGTGACTGCTTCTAGGTAGTGAACAACTCCATGATCCAAATTGATCCAAAGAAGGTTTTATAGCTTCAGATTAAGGTCATAACGATAGTGGTGAGAAGACAGAGTAGAGAAGAACTATTGCAGACAACTAATTTAATCTGAAGTATTGGGGAGACTGTAGCAGGAAAAAAATGTTAAGAATACGATATTAGGGCTGTGTCACAGAAGTGTTTCCAGAAGAGAGATGTGAAAAATTGCCCAAATACGAAGATTGAAAAGTAATTTGAAATAACTACAGTTAAAGAATACTGGGGTTTACATCATCTTCTCTGTCTCCCCGATTCCTTGTTTTCTTATTTATAACATACTGTCTTTCATGGCTCCTTTTTGTATTCATGGTTAAATCAACTTGAAAATGTAATCAGGTGTGAAATACTGTTTCTCATCATGATTATATTGGCCCAGTATTTTAGACTCTACACTCAATGAGCCAGCTGTATTTAACACTGTTTCTTTTAACCCTTAAGGCTCTTTAAACCTTGAAAGCTGCCAGTTTGTCCCAGAAAGACCATCTGTCTTCTAAAACAACTTGTAGTGATTAGGACCTCTTTTTAACAACCTTAGAAAATGCTTTTAAGTCTGTATAGATGTCAACAGTGCCAAATACGAATTCTTCCTGCCGCTCTTCTTTTCAACCTCAAACTCGGTTTTCCTTGCTTCTTTGTTCTGCTCCGGTTTGGCAGAACATCATTAAACCATTTAAACTGTTGTGGTCCCATAATCGTAGTGTAGTAGCACAGATGTAGGACACAGCAAGCTTTGTGAAGGTATTGTGCTGTAGAGTTATCACAGCACTAGCAGTGTTATTTCATGTGGGTTCTTTTAAAAGAATAATTATCATATATTGCTGATAATCACTACAGTGTTTGGTTACCTGAAACTTTCTGCAATATTTGATATTATGGTACAGTGTATGGAAATCATACTTGCCATTTCAGGTCAGTTTTCAAAAGCTGCTGAAGTAGAAATTTTCATAGAGCAGAGTTTTCCATTCAATTAATGCAAAACCTTTTTTTAATCGTTTAGCAGTTGAGATAAATACTATTCTTTTTATTCATTTAAGTAGGTCTTGAAAAACTATGCTAATGACATTTTTAATTAAGAAAGCAAGGTATTTTTATATTTTAATGCAAGTGCTTGAAAGCCTTTGTGTTGAACCTATAATAATGGAGTAAATTTATGCAGTTTTACTAACTTTAGTAGTGTAAAACCTGGCCTCTTTCCTTATTTATAGAGGCATACAATCTGTATCGTAGATGAATTCATGAAAAGAAATGAATATGTAGTTTCTATTCACTCTGGAGAAGGTGTTAGATGCGCATCCAAAGACAGAATTGGCCTTGCAGCTTTCTAGGTTTATTACTTAATTCTTTTTTTAAACTGTAGGAACTGGCAGAGTCTAGTGACAGATTAAAATCCCAAGCCAAAGAGCTGAAAGATGCACACAGCCAGCGGAAATTGGCAATGCAGGAGTTCTCAGAGATGAACGAGCGGCTGACAGACTTGCACTCTCAAAAACAAAAGCTTGCCCGCCAGCTCCGAGATAAGGAGGAAGAAATGGAAGTGGTGATGCAAAAAGTAGAAAGTTTAAGGCAAGAGTTACGCAGAACAGAGAGACTTAAAAAAGAAGTAAGTGGTGAGAGACTGTTTAGAATCTATGAAATAGTAGTTACATGTAAGGTTTTCTGACAAAGTAATTTTTTTGTTATCTGTAAATCTTTAACTCTTTGATTGTTGTTTCAAACAGTACTGATTTTGTTTTCTAAGAATTTGAAGTATCCAGTTTAGTGCTGAAGATTTATCTCTTACATTGAAAACCGTCAATAGATTTTGAAAAAAAGCATAAGAATCCTACTATTAAAAACGTATGTACTTTTGTAGCTGGAAGTCCAAGCTGAAGCCGCAGCTGCTGAGGCATCCAAAGACAGGAAATTGCGAGAGAGGAGTGAACAGTACTCTAAACAGTTGGAAAGCGAAGTAGAAGGGCTAAAGGTTAGTCTGTTTTGATATTAACACCTGCAAACTTACTACTCAACTACAACTTGGATCTGTTTGATTGCTTTCAGATGTAGGACAAAAGGGTATTGTCAGTTTATCACTTCAGTTGATGCTGAATATTAATGCAAGCATGCATTGCATTATTGTCCAGAAAAATGAACATTTGCCTAATGCACTTTTCAGGCCAGTGTGTTCACTGCTCACTGAAGTATTTCTTAATACTCGATGATTTCTTACCAAATTGCTTCCATTGTTACTTTGTTTAACTTTACCTGTTAAAAACGTTTCGGGTTGTTTTTTTTTTTTTAGTGTAGGGTGGTTGAGTATTTGAAGATAAACCTGCAGCCAGTACAGGTTACTGTGTAGGTGTTTTGTGTACTGTGTTATTCCTCAGCATGTAAGTTAAAAGAAAGATGGTTTCCTCCAGAATAGACGTCAACCGATGTAACTGTTAAGGAAAAATTTTAGTGTATTCTGCCTCTCAGCCAGAAATTGAGATATTTTTGCACAAGAGCAGCATTGAGCATGAAGAGTTTTGTTTATATCAATGAGATTGCTCACACATGTATGTGTTTTTAGGAGCAGAAATTTAAGTAAGCCAAGAATGTTAACTGTTACTTCTTTCTTATGATTTAGCATTTTATACAGTGCTCTGAAGAAATTAGACTTTCTCAAAAATTGAATGAGAAAGTTTTTTCATTTCCACATGAGGATTGCTGTTCATTTACAGCAAAATCCTGTTCCCAATGTTTTGTCCAGTAGGATAATTCTAAACTTTTTGTGCAAAATGTCAGATTAGGCCTATTCTGGTCTTAATTTACATGAATAACGGGAGGGTTTAATTAGAATTCTGACAAATTGAATATTTGTCAATATTGAGTCACTGCACAGAAAATTTGGGGTTTTTTTGCAAACATTCTTCTATTTTGCCTTGCTTTGTTAAATGAAAATAAGGAAATCCATTCAATATGAAATTTGGATTTATAAAGCTTCTGCTGCTGTGAATTCAGATTGTTATCTGAAAATTAAGATGTGTTTCTTCTGCTTTCATGAATCTTCAAATCATCAGCAAAGAGTTTGTTTGACAGTTTAAGAGGCAAGAGGAATTTATTGGAGATCTATTGAGAATAAACAATATGCTGATTTATAACAACAGGGCAAGTTTATCCGAAGAGGAAAGGGGACTTCTAGCTTTCTTAGTAATATTTCACAGTACAGTAAGCGCACTTTGTGTCACGTGCGGTTGTTGTGATACTGCATTATCCATTCAGTAAAAGCTCTGCATGGCTCCTCAGTTAAGTTCAGGAGGCTATCATAGAGAAAGAGTCAATATTTAAGGAAAGGACAGAAGGAAAGTTTCTCCAAATGAGGAGAACAGAAAAGTCCATAAATGACTGGTTATTTGTATGTGTAAACAGGATGTTGAGGGCTAAATAAAGAAAATTTAGAGACCACTTTGCAAAGGATGCTCAGAGTGATTGTGGGAAATTCTTTAAATCAAAAGCAGAAAGCCACCTTAGGAAACTCCTGGGGCTGCTTGTTGGCAGGGATGAAAAAGGTAATCTCTGAGTTGATAGGGCTGTGGCAGAAATGCTCAACGAGTTTTTGGTGTGCCAGACTTTACTGCTGAAGCAGGGGAGATTGCCAGACAGAGTGCATTCTTTGCAGCAGGTTGGTCAGATAAGCTGGATCAGTCTGAGGATGATGTGCAGGAAGCGTTACAGCTGGCAGGTGAGTCAGATGTGAAGTCACCCCGAGCGGTGGCCTTGCCAAGGAGGTTCTGAAGGAACTCAGGTGAGAAGTAAGAGAACTGCTGGCCCAGATGTGCACCGTCTCACTACAGATGCGGTGCCATCCAGAAGATCCAGGGAACTGAAGAGGAGTGGGTGTGACTTCCTTAGGAAAGGGGTAGAGGCTGCAGTAAAGAATAAGGTCAGTGAGCTCATGGATGAGGCAGAGCCTGTTGGGAAGGAGGCAGTGTGCCTTCTGTCCAGCCAAGTCCTGCAACACTCATCTGCTGGGGTTCTGCGAAGTTGTCAGTAAGTGTGTGGATAAAGGAGATCCAGTGGATGTCATATATTTGGATTTTCAAAAAAAGGAGGCTCAATATGAGTCAGCAACGTGCCCTGGCAGCCAAGAGGGCAAACCGCATCCTGGGGTGCATTAAGCAGCATATAACTATGTGCCAGGAGATGCCTTATGTCTCACTTGAAACAGTCATGTATGAAAACATCTATTTGGATGTCACTCTTAAATTTGGGCAGGAAGAAGCTGAGGGGAAATTGTTTAAGGTTTACAAAATCACAAAGGTAGTGGATAAGGTGAATGGAAATGGCTGTTTACCAAACCCTACAGTACTACAACGGAGGGGCACTGATGAAGCAAACAGGACGTGCATTTAATATAGTACTTCTTCACAGAATGGGGAGTGAGCTCCTGGAACTTATTGCCACAGTAGTTTGTGGTTGTGACAGTATCAGCAGGTTCATAAAGAAATTAGACAAATTTGAGGAACACCAGGTCCCCTGACTATGCAGAGAGGTACCCTCTAATACCTTTAGTCCAACAGTTGTATTCCAAGGGGAATGGACTCATAAAAAAGGCAGGCCTGGGTGCTGTCCCCACATAGCCACTGCTTTAGGGAAGATACGGGTCTGACCCAGTAAGGCATCTCTCAACATTGTTCTTCACAGTGAAGCTGAATGCAGTACTGGAATGGTAAGAGTAGTGAAAGCACACAGTATGAGTAAGTGAAGAAGTTAATGACTTGGACCACATGTTGGACGAAGGTACCAAAAGAAACCAGTTACCATTTGCAATGAATTTGATTCTAATCAAGCTTCCATTAACATTGAAAAATAGAGCTGTGTGTAACAACGGAAGTGGAGGGCTTTCATTTTCATCAGAGCAGTATTATAATACCTACAAATCTCTTTCCATTCTTCACCAGTAGACAGATGTATTTATTGTTAGTTTTTCAGGCATTTCATAGCTGTGCTAGAAGATCTTACACTTGCTGTTTACTTCAGTAAACTTAGTTATAAAGCCTTAGGTGTGTATTCAGACAGCCAAAATTCTGTTTCTGGATTGAATTAGGTGGGCCAACTAGGCAATGTTTTGTGCCAACTAGGCAATGTTCTGTGCTAATTTGTACAGCTGATTTTTTTTGTTTGTTTGTTTATTCTTTTGTAAGTTAATTTCAAACAAATTTAGACTAAGTTCTGCATGTTAAATATTTAGGTAGCATATTGAAAATTAAATTCTCATCTCTTTCCTTCCTACCTGAGCAACAGCAAATTATTAAATTGAGAGGAATAATATAGTAATCCACATAAGTGGTAATTAATAGGATTGTAATAAGGAAGATTGCATCTTTCTTAATATGTTGCATTTGGCAAATATTTATACCCTAAAACTTGGGGCTATTAGCATCACAATCTGAAGTAAGATTCTTCATATTCTTAACCAAGCTAAATTATTATTACCATCTGCAAAGGGCAAGATACAAGCCTTGAAGCAATACAAAATAGCACTTGTAACAAAAGGCTAATCTCATTAAAGACAAGCCAGAAGCCTTCCAAGATTTTTAATGGTACGTTCATTTAGGATTACGTTACTTAAATAGTAAGTTTTCCCATGCCACCTGCTCTATTATTGCAATATTTAATGGTGGTTATTCTTTATTCTTCAAGTGCAAAACTTGATGTCTGTTAATGTTGCAATTGTGGTAACCATAGTACGTGATATACATGTCAATACATATATAGTAATATTTACAACACTGCTGTCAGTTTGGACTAGTCAGCTTCATAACTGCCTAATGAAAGAGCTGCTGTGTGGAAGTATTTTTGTTTGGGTTTTTGTGTGTGTCTGTGTGCGTGCATGAGAGGGAGAGAGAGGGAAGACTTCCAACGCAGAGTTATGGCATCTAACTATCTATGTGCCAGGAGATGCATTATGTCTCAGTTGCACCATTTGTCCATTTGAAACAGGCATGTATGAAAACATCTATTTGGAATTTGTGCTTACATCAATTCAAAATATATTCTCTGTCTACTATATTACTCTAGTTCTGTAAGCCACTGTACAGTAGCATCCAGCTCTCTCTTTTACTGCACCATCTGTCTTATGGTCTTAATAGTATCTTTTCATTGTGGAAAAAAATACAAAATACCATTAAAACATCTTACGTACCTGATAGCTAATGTTGCAGAGCCTAAGTTTTTTATGTACTCCCTTGCCCTATATGTGTAGGCAATTCGGCATGTTGGGCAGTAATAAACAAGTTCAGTAGTTAAGTGCCTGTGCATGAACGAAAATTCCTGTACTTCCTTTCTTTTTTTTCTTTTTTAATCTTTTTTCCTCCAAACTGTCTCCTGTTAGGATGGCATCTTCTTTCTCCAATTTACCATTCTGCATTCTAAAGGCAGGATTTTACTCTTAGATCAAAACAGATGGTTGTTTTGATGAGTTAGAGAAAACAATGCGGTAGCAGCACGTATCTGGCTTATGCATTTATGGGGTTTTGCAGTGTTCTGCTGACACTAACAGCAAGGCCCAGCTTTCTCATAGAATTCGTCGTGGTAGAAATTCAGCTCATCTGAATGTTCTGCCATGACATTTAGCTCTTAAAGTCTATTCATACATCAGCAAAAGAAAATTACCCAAAGCCATGTTTAATTAAGGGTAACTGAGAGGATTTTAATATCTCGTGGTAAGAATGGAGGTATAATTAACAAAATATCTTCAATCCTCCTGAAAGTGTGAGACAGTCACCGTAAGGAAGTAGGTTTTCCAGGTACCTGCACTTTCTCAAAACACAGTGTTTTTACTAAGTAATTACCTTTCCTTAGACTACCTTTAATTACATATTTAAAAAAATAGAAAAAATTCCAAAGCAAGTTATACATGTGTTTACATTTAAAGGTATTTCCATACTTGGATTTCAGTGCATGTCATGCCACTATCTCATTTTGAACCTGATCTTGACTCCTCTATGTTATGGCAGGACATTGAGTTTAGTGAGTGCAGCATTTGGTGCAAATGTGTATGTATCCTGAAGCAATGTGTAAAGACTATTGAAATGCCAGAAGACCTCACTAAGAGAGCTATGCAGCTGCGAAAAATGAAGTAATTACTCTTATTGTTTAAAGCTTGTTTTTCCTATTAATCCACTATGATGTAAATGGTCTGTTTGAGTAAAATAGCTCAGGTTTCCCTCCTGATTGATGCAATCCATATAGTGTTTCTGTAGCTAGATTTTAGCCTTCAGTTAAGCCTCTGCTTGTCTTAGTATAGCTTTCCACAAATTATTTGTGCTTTAAAATATATTGACTGTATATCATAGTCCTTATTCTCCATTCCTGAAAGTCACTTGAACTTGTTGCTGTCAACCATGTGAGTGGGAGCATAAAAATCTTCTAATTCTGTGGTCGCTTTCTGACTGCATGTAAGGGGCGTCAGAATGTGGCCAGAGATGTTTAGAGTGATGATCAAATTTTCAATGGCCTGAAAACTATTACTGCATTTAAATCACAGAACGATAAAGAGTATAGTTCAGATTTATGCTCTAACAAATTTTCAAAAAAGTTGAGATAGATGTGTTTAACTCAAGTCTGTAATGGGATATTTTCTAAACATAGACTTACGAATATTGAGTTGTTATTAAGCATAATTTTCAGCATTCTTGAGCGCTAACTTGGGGCTGTTTATTTTAGCAAAAACAGGTTGGTCGCTCACCTGGGGTAAGCAGTATAGAACACCAGCAAGAGATCACTAAATTAAAGGCAGACCTGGAAAAGAAGAGTGTTTTCTATGAAGAGGAACTATCTAAACGTGAAATAATGCATGCTAATGAAATAAAAAGTCTGAAGAAAGAACTACGGGATGCAGAGAGCCAGCAGCTTGCCCTCAAGAAGGAGATCATGATTTTGAAAGACAAGTTAGAGAAAACCAGAAGAGAAAAGTGAGTATTGTATGGAATTTACCTTTAAGCTCAAAATACCTTTTGAAGTCTCCTGGTATGTTTCCAAACACAATATCGCTTTCTTAACTGTAGTGCAGACAGGTGCATTTTGGCTAAGCTAATGCCAGGGTTGAAAATAGCCACCTTTAAAATCCACAACCCTGAACTGAAACAGTTAATTTTGCACCAAAATTCTTGCACTGGCTGACCATTTCAAGGTATGTAACTTGAGTTGCAGACTTGCAGCTCGGGGTAAGTCAACCCCTGAAGCTTAAGTTGCAGTTTAAAATAGGTTTTTTGACATTTTTTTTCTGTTTGGTATTTTCATCTGTTGATGCAAAACGAATGTGTTAGAGATCAACTGTTGCTTACATTTCTGCCAGCACAGGAACAGTCACTTAATGCGGACTAAGGCTAATCCACGTTGGGTTCCGTCCAGTGTTAACATCAGTCATCAGACTACTGTAGGCATAAGCTGCTTTATCTCTTCTGCATAGTGATTTGTCAGAGACCTGCTTTTTTCTCTCCCACATGGTGGAGCTTATAACTGGCCTTGAGAATGTTCCTTGAGGCATTCATCAATAAAAACAAGTTTTTCTGTTGGATAGTGTAGTAATGGAAATAGTCATAAATTGAATGTGTTCATTTCATTCATTTTCAAATTCAGAATGTTTTATAGACACTAACATAGATGCTTCTTTTTGCTGCTGACCTGCTTTTTTCTCTCCCACATGGTGGAGCTTATAACTGGCCTTGAGAATGTTCCTTGAGGCATTCATCAATAAAAACAAGTTTTTCTGTTGGATAGTGTAGTAATGGAAATAGTCATAAATTGAATGTGTTCATTTCATTCATTTTCAAATTCAGAATGTTTTATAGACACTAACATAGATGCTTCTTTTTGCTGCTGTAGGAAGATGGCATATTAGTTTGCTGAAAGCTTAGCCAAACTGTAGTGAGTCCTTAAATGAAAGTAGTAAATAAAATAAAGAATTTTTCAGAAAAGCTTATGCGAATAGAGCTGGAAACACTGCTTCTCTGGTAAATTGTTTCCAGCAGAGGAAGTAGATCATACAGCCTAGAATGCAGTGGGTGAACTGTTTCTTCCTAGAATATAGCTATTCACAGGCTGGACATATTAACACAGTAGTTTGCTGCTTTGTTCTAGGTTGAGAGGTAAAACTTGCATCAACAGTGTGTTTTCATTGTACCACAACTTAATGGTCTTGCTGACCTATGAGTTATAAATGCACAAAAGGCTATGCTGTCTTGTAATATATAAAGGTGATAGTATGATACTCCTTTAATTCCATGTCAGTCCATTAGTGTCTCAGAAGGAGGAATATTCAATGAAGAATCATTAATACCTCTTTCTGCAGGCTAAACTTTTGCTAAAGATCTTGCATCCAAACACTGACCAGACCAAAAACTCCTTGGAATTTTATCAGAACCATTCTAATGATGTACAGCTGCAAAAGTTCTAACTAGATGTCCATCTAGTGAAATAACAAATGGCCTAATAATGCTGATCTGCTTCATGCTAGCTAGTTCATAAACCTTCTTTCAATCTAGTTTCTCCCTCGAAATAAAAAAAGAACTGGATGCAAATCTAAAATGAGTGCTGACGTAACCTGTATACGTTTCAAGTGTTGGTGTAAGAGAACATTTTAAAGCATGAACAGAAGTGTGTCACATAACCAGAATCCAACATCTGTCTGTTAATGGGAAGGGCTTCAGCATCATGCGAAATCAGGTGTCCAACCACATGATGAGTGATTAATGGAGACCTGATCTTAACTGGGTTTTGTTAAACAGATCTGCAGAATCTCAGGCAACTATTAGGACTCCACAGAAATGCAGAATGTCCACTGTTCAAGGTGTGCTACAGGTTGACTTCTGTAGTAGTTGAGGGATTTAAAAAGGAAGCTTAAATGTTAGGAATGGAAGAATTGCTGTTGCTGCTCGATTCTCAGTATTTGGTAGTTTTTCTTAAGAGAACATGGATTTTTTTTTTTTGTTTCTGCTTACACATACTGTTTTTAGCTTTTGTAATCAGACATGCAAAACTTTTTGTGAGTCTGCCAGTACAGAGGTGTTCAATGTAAGTGTTGAAAAGGAAGCACCTGGAGGCTTTATGCTGAAATAAATGGAATTATTTTAACAATAGACTTGGGGTGGGCGTGGGGTTGAAGTGTGCGTATTCAGTTTGGGAAGAAAATTTTAGTAGTCTAAAAATAATCTTTAGTGCATATTTAAAAAAAAAAGGCTTTGATAGGAGGATGCGGTTGCATTACTTCATAAGGGCTATAGTATAGAGTGAATAAGAGCTTGGTCAAAATCTGTGTGTACTTTTTTATGTAACTTACATGCTGGGGGTTTCTGTTTCATTTTTTAAAATAGGTATTTTTTTCTTTGTTTCCTTCAAATTTAAGCTTTCTTACTTTTGCTATTTCAACAGCATAAGTCTTCAAGGGAGAGAAACTACCCTTCTGTACAAAACAATTGACCTTTGCTGAAGTCTGATAAACTGCATGCTATTAAAATTGGGAACGTAGGAACACAGTATCAGGCCAGTGATCTGTGTAGCATGATATTCCATTTCTTAGAATTGTCATTATGAAATATTTCAGAAGAAGGTCCAAGAAAAGAAACTCTGTAAAATAAATCATGTTTGTAGAAGTTTCTTTTAAGCCTGTCATTTAATGACAGATTTATAAAGCAGAGCGCTTTATAAAACAGTGTTTGCTGTTTTTAAATTGTGTGATATGAAGAAGCCTGGGAGCTGGTGTTTGTTTCAGGTCTACTTTTCTTGGTTTCAAAGCAGTAAGATAAAATATTTCTCCACTTTGTACAGCCGCAATAAAGAGCTGGAGTGACAAAGTGATACCATAAAGCTGTATTTCACATTGCTTGCATGTGGTTTGCTACAGTTATTTTACTGATAAAAAGAAAGCTGGATCGTGTGTGATTTCTTAAACTTGAAGAGCAGATACATAGCTAAATTTTAGATGAGAGAAAAAGCTTGATGAGAGAGGAGGATGCCAGGCTTCAAAGCAAATGTGTTATTTTGATCTTCCTGGCTGTCCAAGGTATGCTTATGGAATCTGTCACAGTTCTGTGGTTTGCTGAGTTGATATTTGGGTATGATAGATTATACCCTCATTCTTCTGTGTTTAAAATTTATCTTCTTTGTTTCTGTATTATACTATAGCAGTCTGACTTACTGGGTTAGTGACAATCACCAGTTGAATTAAGAAAGTAAAATACAGAAAACTACAAATATGTTGGGCTCTTTTACCAGCCCAAAGCTTCCTTAATCCACCACCATTTATGGCTGCTTTGAGCCTTAAGGCCTTAAAAGGACAAATTTTAGACAAATATAGAATAAAAACCCCTAAACAAAACCATAAAAGCTAAATAAAAGAAATAAATTAATTAAAAATTAGTTTGGTCTACTGTCTGAGAAATTAGCTTTGAATCTATGCCTTGCAAACAGAAGCAGGACCTGTTATTAATTCCCCTCACAGCCAATGCTTTAATCTCTTCCTGCCTTTTCCCTAGACTGCTCATCATATGCATGGAATCTGTTGATACAGAAAAAGAGTGGTGGTGAATTTCGAACTTGGCTTTTAAACAGTAAAGATAGTATGTTACTTTACTAGGATGTAGTGTTATGTTTCAAAGGATGCCTAGCAACATAGAATTTCACCATGAGTTTAACATGCTGTACTAGATTTCAAAGAGTGGTTGAAGCACTAAATGAATTTCAAATTAGGAATAGGAAATTCAAACCAGCATTACTCTTAACTGGGTTCACTGACACTTCTCATCTTTTAAGGGTGTTCTCTCAATTTGGCAGAGGAGTTGTATTTCTGCATCTCAGAAAAAGAGGCGAGGATGTAATTTCTCTGTTGCACAATGTAAAATTATGATTGGTATCCAGAAGAAAAATTGCAATGCTCAGGACAATGTTTCCCCTGGATTTTATTTTTACAGAGTTAACCTTCTGTACTGGGTACGTTTTCAAACCTTTTAAGGCTGGACAGTGGTATTTGCTGAATGGATATTTACTGTATCTGTGGCATTTATAGTATAGTTCCATCAACCTACTGATGAACCTTGTGCCAGTTACCTGAATAATTGGTGAAATGGTGAATACAAGATGCAAATGTAGTGAGTCTCAAAAGAGTGGATGCGAGGTGGGCGTTACACATCTAAAACATTGCTGTACACCACTTCAAGGAAGTTACAATGTTTTTTGGCAAACAGAGGACCTGCAGCTTCATTTATTTTCAGGTTCTCATATTCGTTGTGCAAGATCAAAGTTGATGTTAAGCAAAATCAACCAGAGGTTCTCCTCTACTGAATGACATCCGCAGTAGAAGGGAAGGGTTGGGGGAGACAGCTACTTTGAAACTCTTTCTCAGAAAAAATGGTCCAAACCTCCTCTAGAATCTAGGAGTGTATAGGTTATCCATCCACTTTTTGCTGATAGTAAGTATACAGTACCTGAATTAACAGTTCGAATGTGTCCTCTGGCTGTTCTAAATTGTCCAAAGACTAGCCCGTATAAGCTTTTCTCATAAGAGACCCAGGCCTAAGTGCTCTAATTTAGCTTCTTTATGTTCTGGTTTCATATGTGGTCATTTTTGCCTATCATTCTGTATGAAACTTGGAATTATAGAAAAGTCTAAGTTAAAATAATGTTTCTGTGAGCTGAGAATTTACCCCGAGTGTCTTAGAATATTGACACACGCTTCAGTCTGCAGAATTACAGCTGTTCAATGTTTGGAGGATTCATCTAAAGAATAAAATATGTATAAATGGATTGATAAATGTTAGCTCAGTGGAGCTCTGTTAATTCCGTACTGAAGGAAAGATCATTGTCCAATGATAAAATTCAACAGACTGTCTTGTAGTCCTAAGATGGTAGTATAATACATTACTTGCTTAGTTTTAGTAGGCTGTGATGTTACCAATGCCGTACTTTCCTTTCAGCTAGTATGTCCATTGATCTTTATGCATTTAAGTGAAGAGCGCGCTGATTTTTAGAGTAGGAAACTTTCTGATTCTACTTCATTTTATTTCTTAGCCAAAGTGAAAGAGAGGAATTTGAAACAGAGTTCAAACAGAAGTATGAACGAGAAAAGATTCTGCTAACAGAGGAAAACAAAAAACTTTCAAATGAACTTGATAAGGTAAGTGCCGATTAATTGAGTCCTGAGTTTACAACTATTGTATACTATGTACAAATTGGACATTATAGAGCTGTATTGGTTATTGTTAACTCTTAATTGATAGCAGAAATTAATATTAAAAAAAGTCATGATTAATATTTCATTTGAATAGAGAGTATCTGCATGTATCTGAACTTGAGAATTTGTGCACGTATGTATATATGCATGTATGTGTATTTCTGTGTAGGAATTGAGTTAGATGGTCTTACAGTTTGGTAAGATTAATTTTAGACAATATCTTAAGCCCAAAAAAAAAAGATTATTTCATTGTATGACCCAAATATAAAAGTACATATTTAATGATGTGATTACTTAGAGTATATTTGCACGTCAACTACTGTCAAACAGCAGGGCCCCTCCCACCCATTGAGATTAAATGTTACTTTGAGATATTAAAAAAATACAAATGATAAGACATATTAATTGAAGTGTGTTGAGCAAGGAATAATTATGTTTCGCGCATTTAGATTATCTCTTTATTGTTCATTTTGACAGGTTATTCAAGTTCATTGTGGATTAGCCAAGTCTTGCTAAACTTGTCTATTCTTTTTGTAATGCATTAAATTTTATAAAAATATGATGAAAGTACAGTGTTCTTCAAAGTAAGCATGTTTGCGTGGCAGTGTTCAAATTAAAGTATATTTTCATACCAGTGTAAGACGCATACTATATATGCTTATATGTAGGCTTAGTCCAAGAACAGTAAGAGACTAGTCACTTTGATAGTTTTTCTGCTCGGTTTCTCTTTTTTTGTTTCTTTTTTTTTTATTATTTGGTTAGCTTTGTTTTTTCCTTGTCAAATAACATTTAATAAATAAGCATATTTAAATCATAAGTCCATTTAAATGATAAATATGGAGTGGAGTACTCAGGAGTAAAAAGCAGAATAGATTTAAAACTGATATTTTTTTCATCATTTTGATTTGTTAATATATTTCAGTACTAAAAGAAGCCTTTCACATGAGATTCATTCTCCTAAGCGGGCCTTCCTATAAAGTCTATCCGATCTCTGATTACAGTTTGTCTTTCTGAATAATTATTTAATGTAATGAAGGTTTAGTTCCCAATACCAATTCAGCTTAGCTGTGGCTTTTGTCTTGCAGAATGTGCATGTATGAATGACAGCTATGTGAATGTGAGTGAGGTTAATTGCTAGGTATAACACACTGTACTTACAGATGTGCATTTAATTTCAATTTCCCTGTCTGCAAGTACGTACAATGAAAAACAGGGGAATGTGAGACACCTGGAGAATCTCAGGACTGACTCATGCCTGTATCTGTTAAGCCTCTCATTCTCCATGGTTACTAAACAAGACAGAGGTTTGGCAGTTTTATCTAAGCTACAACAATTTTTGTGCCCTTGCTTTGCTCTTTTAATGTAGTTTTTTCTATATAGAACATTCCACACTTATATGGTGCAAAGCAGAAACCTTCTAAGAGTTGTAGAGGTATTTGGAGACTAGTTGTCACAAAACTAATTAATTTCTTAGAGTAAAAATGTAGTTCTAGTCCTTAAAAAAGGCTTTTCAGTACAGCTAAGGTCATACATGAGAAGAGATTCTGGCTTTTATTGTTACATGGTGTTTATTGTGAAGGGTAGTACCAATTTTTAAAGCAGATGCACGATGTGGGAGAGGGGAACACATGCCTTTGAGTCTGCACAGAGATGGAGTCACAGCAACTTTAACAAGTTGTTTAAATTCTCATTCAGCTCACCACCATGTTTGAGAGGCTGAGTATGAATAATCGGCAGCTGGAAGAAGAGATGAGGGACCTCGCTGATAAAAAGGAGTCCGTGGCCCACTGGGAAGCCCAAATTACTGAGATCATCCAATGGTGAATACTCTGCTCTAATGTCATTGCAGAATCCCCTCAGTGTGTGGTAGGGCTGTTACTGAGTTTTTGCCTTTGCCCATGGCACTTGCAAGTGCTTAGGTGAAATCTCACACCCGTCTGGGATTCTGCTGTATTTTTGCTTGAGATTTTAATAATATCCAAATCCAGAAAATTGTGTTCCTCCTTAAGAGCGAAAGTGTCTCACCAAATACAACTTTTTTAAGTGCAGAAGAATCATGGCCATCGGGTGTGGCTTGTGGCTTTGGAAGAATGCTGGAAGGAGTCATGTGCTGAGCTCACGCCTCCGAGAGGGAACAACCCTGGGAAAAGCAGTGGCTGAGAGTATTTGTGTCTCGGCATTAATTTCCTTCATCTGCTTGGCATGTGGCAGAATGAAACAAATACAGTGCAACTTTTATGTGATTTTTTTACAAGGAGGGCATCTGAGACTACCACAAAGCCAGTCAAGTGATGTTTCTAATAATACTTTTGCTAAATAATGATGTTATGTTTCTAAAGTCTTCCGTCCAGTTCTAATAAATTAAGGGGGAAAAAAAAAAACAAGTTGAAACTGTTAAGAGAAAAAGATTGTTTTATCTAGGTATTTTATCTTATTTTTCCTCTCCATGCCTGCTTCTTTCCCCTCCCCTTCTATGGTCCATTGCAGTGTTTAGCATCTACAAAAACAGTTTGCATCCAGACTTTTTTTTTACAGATCATCCACTTCTGGGAAGATTTCATCATCATCTACTCATCTTTTTTTGGTTTACTACTTGATTATTTTTTTTTCCCCCCATTTTTCCCATCTCATTTTAGTGAAAAAAACTAATTTGTTGTGTCAAAGCAAAAATAGGAAACATTTGTTCTAATGAAACCTAGTTTGGTATTGTTGTAATGTCAGAATAATCTTGTTGTCCAAATACAGAGAAGTTTGGCTTTTGAATATAGCCATGTGAATATGTCACACAAAAGAAGGGCTGTCCTCTGGGTTTCTGGAAGTGTTTTAAACAGTGTTTGTTACATAAAATTATGTAACGCCGATCTGTGTTATGAAGTCCATAGTGTCTTAAGGCATTGTATTTGTAGCAGAGGTTAAAAAATCTAAAGGGTCCACTTTGTGCGTGTTCCTTTTAAATCTTGTCTCTCATAACTGTGAGTGTAGATGGCCTGCGTCACAGAAATAAAAAAAAAAAAAAACCCAAACATAGAAGTTGTTTAAATGAACAGATAATTTCTAGCCAATCAGAAATGTTTATTCAGAAAAAGGTAACGAGGGAGACAAGTCTATTATTTCACATTCCATATTGTTTTAAGGTAATGCTTATCTGTCTTAATCCACCAAGGTAACCCCGTTTTTCAGATTTACATGTGAAAGCACTCATAAAACTTAGCAGTTCTGGAAAAAGACAGGTCAGAATTAGTTGTGGATTGTTTTACTTAACACTATGTAAAAATGTACCAACAGCCATTAAGAATGTCCCTTCTCCAATTTATGAGAGTGTTTAATATTTTAAGATGTACTACTGGTGTGGTTCAGGTATATGATAAAGCATCTTGCACGTATTAGAGATGTCACTGGGGGGTGAAAGAGGTTTGGGATTGAGTTTTTTGTTATCTCTAAAGATACTTAATGAAAAAAGATCAGGAACATGCATGACTAACTTTCTGAATGAAAGATACCATTTTACTGATCCCTTACGATAATATAGTGTCTTTTAAAAAGCTTGGAACTAAAAATTAAAGAATTATGTGAAAAGAAAAAAAAAAACAGAAGTACTGTGGGCAAACATTAAGGAGATTAAAAAAATCTGGCTTGGTTCCAGTTTTTAATCACTGTACACATCTCAATTTTCCCTCCATACTTCTCTCTGCTTATGTTAAATTTTTTTCAGCTATGTGAGGCCATATCTTGGGTCACATTTTTTTCTTATTATGTTTAGATTTTCCATGTGTTACCCAGATAATCTGGTCAAGTCCATCTGCTGTCCTTAGAATTCAGCACTGCATACTGACACTAGGTCCTTCTCTGGGGACTTTTTGCTGTGGAACATGGGGTGCTATATGAAGTATTTAAACATCTATAATAATAATAAACATTTTAAAAGAAAAAAAAAAAAACCCTGATTTTGAAGAAAACTAATCTTACTTCATCGGTCACAAGCCTATGTTTTCCTCAGAAGAACATGCAATTTAAATCCATACCTGTCCACCTCTTCAGTATGACAGCAGAATGCCTTGGAGCTAACAAAGTAGGGTAGAGCTTCTAAGCGTCCTCTTCAAAACTAACAGATTTTTCACATAATATTACTTTAAAATATGTATTTCGGGTGCATACTTTCCACTTCTTAAAAATGGGTTTTGCCTACCGTCTTCTTTTTGTACCATGATTCATGAAGGATAGGAGGCAGAAGATGGAATTAATTAGTTTTGTAAACAGTTTGCTCAGCTGCCTGTGGAAGTTCAAGGGATTTGTTCTAGCCCTGTTTTAAGTAACACAAGCCCAAGGAGTACTTACTTAGAGTGCTTTGACATCTAACAGATATCTCTCTTAGGAAATCTGCCCCACTATTCAAGTCCGGTTTTGGGTGGTTAAGATTGTCACTTTCTTTACGACTCCTTGGGCCCTTCTAAATTATTATTTCTTTCAGATTTTATAACTTGTGAGTAATTTTAATGGCCTATCATGTTCCCTTTAGCCTTTCCCTTCTTTCTTACTGTGCTCTCTTGCATCTTGTTTAGGGCAAATGTACAAAAGCCTTCTTATTTTTGCTATTATTATCCCAAGATGCCATAAATATAGTCAAAATCTTAATATAAACACTTGAATCAAACTTTCATTGCAAATTCTAAAGTGGTAGCAATAGACCCTCACAGATCATTCAGCCTTAATGGAGCTATTATATTGACAAGTTTATATTTGCCAAATCACTCATCATTCCTTGACAAGAAATATTGAGGCTTTTATAGTCAGCTATAAATTTTCCTGTGGGAGATGGGAAAGAGATTCATTGCACAGGAGGTTAATTCACTTTAAAAAGGAATCTTTTAAATAGCCATGGTACAGTATTTCTGTTCTGCTGCAGAAAGGAGGTCGATGGAAATCTTGGTAGTGATTCCCAGAGTACTTGACAAGCATCTTAACTTATTAGTCTCTCTGGGAGGGATTCATGTAACCTAGTTTTAGAAGTCCTAAGGTAGACAACTAAAATATATCCCATGACTAGTACTGTAGAAGCCTCTCTTTCTCCCCACTGATTGAAAAGGAAGTGTAGACAACTAGTTCAAATGAAGAATTCTGTATTGTTGAGTATGTTTATATGGATGAGCTAAATCCTACCTGATTTACCTATAGAGTGGATGTTAGGCTTAGGTTCAGCTGGCCAGAAGCTGTGACTGTTGTTTACTAAAGATTCAGTTAATATTCTCCTTGTTGTCTAGATATCTTCCCAATCAACTGTATTATGATTGATTTTATCTTAATTATTGATCTCATTAGAAAAAACAGCCAACCAACCAAACAAAAAAAACCCAAACAAAAACCCTAACCCCCAAAAACCCAAACACTTTGCGTTAAATGAAATACAAAAAAGCCCCGAAGTTGTTTTTTTTTTTTTTCTTTGAAATTTGGTTGCTCTCAGAAGAAAGCACACATAAATTGTGGAAAAGGTTTAGCAAAAATCCTGGGCAAATTCAACTGTAAAGAAACTCAAAATATGAAAAATTCTGAGATGCATTGTTTGAGGTAAGAATAATCAGAGGTTAATTATCTATAAAATAGAAATTCTGGAGGGGAGGGGGAAATGTCAGGGTTTGGGAGCAGAGTGAAATGTTGAAAATTTTTAGAGAAGTAGTTTTAAAAAACAAGTTTTGTTGGAGACAGCAGGGGAAAAGAAAATAATTAAATTGGAGGCTTTGAACATAGTGATATGAAGACAGAAATTTAAAAGCATTGAGAAAGTACAGGAGAAATGGGAGTCATGGCCCACAGACTTCCTTGGGGTTTTTAAATCAGGTAAGATGCAGCTTGGCGTAAGATCCCAGGGCTTCAAGATCACTCCTGTTCAACAAAAAATCTCCAGTCCTCTGGGTCCATTTTGTGTTGTAAAGTATCCCAGATGGAGAGACCCAGAGAGTCTGAGGTTCCTAGCAGCCTGACAAATAACATACTAGATATTGGTCAATGGTTATTTGAAGGTTGTCATGATGTTGGCTCCCACTAAAACATGAAATTAAATTTTAGAGGAATTTGTACTATATCACTGTTCTAGGTTCTTTATAGTTAACGAACTAAGCTTGCAAGGGCACTTACGTTATATATGAAAACAGAACCAGTTCATCTAATCTAAATTTTCAGTAAAGAAAGAAATTACTCTGAGTGGAACCTAAAGAACTTTTCTTCCTTAGGTCTTCTGCTGTGCTTGTTAGGGCTCTCTGCAAGAAGCGGGGGCAAGGAGGCAAACATTAGTAAGATTAACTTTACCATTCTTGCTTTATCTTCTAAATAAAAAGCCAACCAAGCAAAAAAAACCCAGCAAAACAGTAACAAATCAAAAAACTGCAAGAACTCTTGGGTTCACATGTTTAATCAATCTCATTATCGAGAGAATGTTGCCATCTAGTGGACAACAAAACCGTATCTCAGCTCTAAATTGTACTGCTTGTATTTACTGTCTTAGTCAGTATAAATTTTTGCAAAAATTGACTTTATAGGTATATTTTCATTTTCTAGATTTCTACATGTTCTGTGGAACATCTCTCTGAGGTTATTGCATGTGCAACTTTTCAGAATTTAGAGCCTGAAGGTTCTGTGCATCATAAACCAGATAACTGAAGTGTTTTCCCACCTTCCATGAGTAAGGATCTATATGGCATGATAAATATTGACAAAGAAATTGGACATTTAAAGTTTTTCATCTTTAATTACAGAAGTTAAAAAATAAGGCACCAATTCAATTTTATTTTTAATCTGGCATTGTCCCTTTTTTTCTGCAAAGATTTTACATATCATTAAAAATAGAGAAGATCAAACACCAATTTCTAAATTTCTTTTCCCATCTACATCAGGAAAACTTACTTTCTCACCTTGAGAACCTCATACTCTTTTTATTCCTAATTACACACTTTTCTTTTTACTATGCATTTCATTATGCCCCCCACCCCACCCCCTACCTCCCTCAAGAACATGTTATGCTATTTCTCACTTCTTTTGCCCACTCTTCTACCCTAAGTGGTTTGTATAGGCCAAGTTTATCTGTATCTGGTCGTCAAAATGTGTTTCATCCAGAATGTTATGGGGGAAAAAAGTTGGCGTGCGGCTTCCATTGAGTTCTGGTATACGTTGGGAAAAATACTGACTCATTAATATCAAAACTTTCACTGACTTTTAATAGAGTCAGGACATGCGTTTTGTTTTTCTTTTTTTCCTAGGCTCCTCCCTACCTCTTGAACTAAATTCTGGCCAGGAGACAAAGATGATAAAGCCCAAAGCATGACTAAGTGCTTACTTTTTCATGCTGGGTGGGAATTTTGTGGCAAACTGTCAATGTTTTTGCATTAGCTTCCTCCGTATTAAAGCAATCTTCTTTATATAAATCTTAAACTGCACACCCAGAAGTCCATGCAACCTGGAGATGTTTAGCCCATAGCTTTTGCATTGTGATCTTGCCCTAAGGCCGCCATGGGAAAGCTCTTCTGTTCCTCTCTTGCCTGTGGCAGTTCAAAGTATGTGCTCTCTGTCTTTCTTGCCTCCTGGTGACTATCTATAAATCTTTGTGGAAACATGATATTATTTTTATTCATTAATGGTAAGCTTGCAAGCAGCACCTTTTCCATATTCACTGTGTGTATGAACCCCATAGTATCAACCAGAGAAACTTACCTTGCTTTGTAGTCACGGAGGGGGGATCCCTTTCTGCAGAGAGGTCACTAAGAGACAAATTCAGCCATCTGGAGAACTCTCATCTCCAGTCCAACATACTCAGGATTACAGTTATTAAGGAACAATCAGGAGGCAAGGATAAGTTAATTTCCATGAAGTAGAAAAAATATTTTCCCACTTTCCTGAAAGTTATTTAAAACTATTTGAGGATCGTTACTTAGAGCACATCCTAAACATTTCTGTGGTTAGTGTTCATCAGGCTGTGGTATTAGAATGCTGGTCTCTGAGACCGGCTCAGAGATTTGGGTATGCCCTGGTGTTGCAGAACTGAGTTTGTTCTTCTGTGGGCAAGATGAGTATGTGCAGAGCCAGGCATGTAAGGTGAAAGGAAATGGTGGGGGTTTGGGGGTTTTTCTTTTTCTTTTTTTTTTTTTTGTTTCTGTTTGTTTGTTTTAGGTTTTACATAAGCTATTTAGTTTCAGTGAGATAATTTTTTAGCAACTTTCTTTTCTATGTTAATACCTGAGGCAAAGTGAAGGAAGAACCTTCTGCTGTGATTAATCACAAAAAGTTTTTTTCTTTGTAACTGATGATCAAAGAATCTGAAAAACAGACATGTCTCCTCCTTGATGTGTTTACACCCAGAAAACATGTCTTAATAGAAAGAAATCTCGGGGAATGAGAGAGCCTTTTCTGGCTTATACTGTTTAATAACATTAGAATTAGACTCTCCCTATTTAATTAGCATTTCTGAAATAACATCAGTGTTTGATTCTAACTACTAGTTCTCATAGTCAATTGATACAGTAAAGTCAATGTTATATGGATGGTTGAATTGCTAATTATTGGTTATAAATTTTGTCTTAATTTACTCCCTAAAAATAGGTTGAATCCTGAAATGTTTCTTTCCCACAGTCTCAATTTCAGGTAGCTGACACTTATGTATGAGACATATATTACTTCCTTAAATATGTAGTTCTTCAATTTTTATTCCTTGTCTTAGTGATGCATATAGTTTAATGGAACTCTGCAAAGCAGTGAAAGCTTAGTTCTGTGTGGTTTTCTGTACTGGTGGTTTTTTTTGTTTCCTTATGTTTTCTGATTTTTGTTTTGTATTCTGCTTTTTTCTGTTTCTGGTTGCTACTTTGTTGAAGGGACTTTTGTTTTTTTTTCTTTAGATTCTTTGGTTAAAACACCTTTTTCTTCTAATGTAATTGTTTAGGGTAAGTGATGAAAAAGATGCTCGAGGTTATCTTCAAGCCTTAGCCTCTAAAATGACAGAAGAACTAGAGGCCCTGAGGAACTCCAGTTTGGGTGCAAGAGCTACAGTAAGACTCTACTTCCATATGTCAGATATTTTTTTTGTTTGTTTGAAAAAACACTAATTTGATAGTTTCAGCTGCAGTAATAACCTGTCTGTAGAGCCTGTGTTAGTCAAAAGTTAGACTTTTCCTAGAGCTTCCCTTCTGAATAACTGAGTAGCGAATTTATTGTTTATCAATTAATTAAACACCAATATCTTTATAATGTGACTTTATCTATTATGTTGTTCAAGTAGCTACTTTATACTCATACATGAATTTGTTGAAGGAAATTTACACTTTGGGTCATGAAAGCCTTAGAATCTTTCACTTTTGAAATGTGAATGTCCTTCATAGCTGTCATTTGAATTAAGGCATATCAAAACTTGAATTCACAAAAGCTCTTTGCTTTTGAGATCATGACAGCATAAGACATTCATCTTGCCTGTTTAGTACTTGAGTTTAAAAATAATAATACTAATAAAAATACTCTTTTAATTTTTTAATTTTAGATTACTTTGGAGTTAATGAATTTTCATGTTAAGAACATAATAGACTGAGAAACGTAATTGTTGAAGTTAGTTACGTTCCCCATTTTCTGCCTTCTTCCCTCTTACTCTTTCTTCTCCCTTTTTATTCTTTACTAGGACATGCCCTGGAAGATGCGCCGCTTTGCAAAACTGGATATGTCTGCAAGGTTGGAACTACAGTCTGCTCTTGATGCTGAAATCCGAGCCAAACAGGCTATTCAAGATGAGTTGAATAAAGTCAAAGCTTCCTGTATCTCTACAGAGTGGTAAGACTGAATTTTCTGATGGAAATTTACTTTGATACCTCCCAGGGAGTGTCATCAAATCATGATTTTAACTATCATCTTGTCTGTCAAAATTTGATAATGAATGATATGCCAGTTTCTCATATCCTTATATCTTATATTCTTATATACCTTATATATAAGGTATATCCTTATATACCTTATATTCTTGTATCTTAATGTGAAAAAAGACCATATCTCTCTTCATTGTGTAAGCAACTGAACACTTACTGGGGAAATTTGAAATCTTGAAGACTTTCAGAGGGGACACTTTCTCTTTAATAATAGAATCTCTCCTAGTTGTGATAACAAGTTCAAATGCAAGCAGATTTTGGGTTTGTATCTTAGAACATACTCTTTTCCATTCTATTGATAGCTGCATTGGGTTAGCTGATGAAAATCAATTATTGCATACTGATTTGCACAGCAATAACATAAGCTTATGGAAGATTATGAATTATTTTATTCCTTCCTCAGACCTCTCTCCCAGTCCTCCCACCCCACCCCCCAAATTACAAAATTTATTCTGAGTTGGGTGAATGCCTGAAGCAGGGGATTGGTAGGAAGACATTCCATTTTTACGTCTCCAGCTTCCATCTAGCTCAGAGCACTGACTTGTTCTGCAGCTTTAGGAAAGCAGTTGGACAGAGCTGAGATTCAAGTATGTTATCTATAAAGTGGGAATACGTTGTCCGCCTGACTTGGGTGTTTTTCAGGCCAGGTGACATGACAATAGGCAGAATTGTAGATCCTCTAAGAACAGGAGAACCAGTGTTTGCTTTGATAGGCAAGGATGAGAAGTGTGGTAGAAATGCATAGTAGTGTTACCTATCAGCTGTGAATTGGAAAGCACTGAAACAACTAACTGTAAAGTAACTGAGAAGAAAAATAGTTCAACATAATCTATTAGTATCACAGGCACTGTGAATTAACAAATAAAAAATCACCCAATCTTTAAGCGTAAAAATACATGTGGTCTTTTTTTCTCATTCACAGGATACAAGCTCACACAATTACTTATAAATTAGAAACACGAGCCTATTTAATGGGTAAACAGGGACAATTAATTGCTTGTTCTGTTTTTTTTTTTAAGATACCATACTAAACGGGTCCCAGTAGATTTCTGAATTCATTCTGGCATTTGATGACATCATGGAGTTTGCTGGGCATTGATTTTTAAATAGCATGCAAAGATGGACAAAAAAAAAGTGACTTGTGTCATGGGTTCTCAATATTTATGTAGATTTTTTGTTTGTATTCTTTTCAAGTAAATTGCAAGAATCGGAGAAGAAGAACATGGAACTGTTGACAGATATTGAAAGGCTGAAAAAGGAGACAGAAGAGCTTAGATCAGAAAAGGGTATGGCAACTGATATCCAAGTAAATAACATGTTTCATGTTGGTGGGTACATCTTATCAATTAAGTGTCACCTTGCAACTAAACTATGATACCAACAGACTTTGGCATACAAGATGTTGAGCGCAACAATTGCATGTTAAGATGTACCCACAGCAGTTGCGTTTGCACTTCTAATACATACTTGTAATACGCTTCAGTTTTGTTAATATACTTGACCAGTAAGGTATTATTTGAGTTGGAACTGCATTATTTTTATGTGGCATGTGTATGGTGATTTACTGCCAGAAAACTGTTAGAAGTATAGATATATTTATAGTTTTTTTCCCTTTATGATGGGTGAAGGTATTTAGACTTCAATACTGATCATAGTGTTCTTCATCTATGAATGTTTTGGCCCTGTCTACACCGAGAGTAAACAACTGCAGAGGCATTCATGTGTTTCTGGGATGACTTTGTTGATTGGCTTTGTAACCACGTAGTGAGCAGTGTGGTCATGTTTGCTTTGCTGTGGTATTAAGAACATGTTCTGGGATTTCTAGTGCATCTGTCTAACAGTACTTGCATTGTTGCTGGGCAAAGAGACTTTTTGGTAATTCTGAAATGAAAAAAATTTTCACTGAGAGTTGATTAATGATTTGGCTGATTCTTTGCAGTTCCCGTAGTAGCTCTGATATTTGTATCTTATGAGTCCCATGGGAAGAAGTGATTTTTCAGACCAAATGGAATTACCTAATTTTCTGTAGGGAACTGTTTGAACTCCAGAGTTTCAAAATCCTGACAACAATTGCTGCGTAGGGATGTCAAATACTGTTCAGCCTTTGCAACCTAACGCGTGTCAATCAATAATGTATTGTAGTTAACATTCATCTCCTATATATAGGCCTCCAAGTGCTGGTTGACTGGTAAAAATAATACAAACCTATACAGAATATTAAAAAATGATTGATGCTGATTAGCAAATAAGATTTAGGGAATTGATACTTGTTCATCTTGATGCTTGGCACTGATACCAGGATTATGCTTCTTCCAAGTGCTTGGAGGGGAACTCTTGATGGCATCTACCTGGAGACAATAATGCTTTGTCATGTTTAGCTTTCACTTATAGATCCTTGAACTGTCTTAAATATTACGCGTAGTTACTTGGCTTCTGAAATCTTCCTTTGCGTTAAACAATCTGTAAGAATTTATAATTACTATTTTACCCTGTATTTTTTCCAGTGTTTAAAATCTTATTGTTTTTGTGAAATAGAGATAAACATTTACTCTTTTTTTTTTTTTAAAAAAAAAAAAAAAAAGAAAATGTACTGTTCAAGGAAAAGTTAGTTATTATGCTTTTTGCCTGAAGTAAATTAATAAGATTCTACTGCAACTATTCAAATATTTTGATACAAATATGCCTTAATCCAAAGTCCTTATTATCTTTGGACTTGGTTTTCTCTTATAAGAAGAAATATATTGAAGTTTGAATCATTAACTCTATAGAGGATTCAAATGTAGTCAATGTACAGTGGTGGAGTAACTTCCTGTGTGTGGAAACTGATATCTAGGAAGGGATTACTTAGATTAGCACTTGAATCCTTTGCTCTTTATAAATGTGTTCCAGAAACTGAGGAGGGTGGGGGAAAAGATTACTGAAAATGATTCTATAAAGTAGCAGGTAATTTGAGAATTATTTTTACTCTTTTATTGGGATTTCAGTGTATTTGTATTTTGAAGAGGAAAGGGTTCTTTGTAACTTCACTGTGGGTTATATTTAGAGCAAACAGGGTGATACGGCCAGTTAGAGCAAGACACTGACATTTTTTAAAAGAAATAAGTGGCCTTTGATAGCATCAGTCTTTTGAGATGCGCACAGTCCTGCAGGCTCTGGTCGTAGTAAGTATATATATAAAAAATGTATTTATAGTGTTCAGGAAGCTAGAGTTTGTACACATCTGTGATTTATAAACACCCACACAGCAACTTGAATTATTTCCCAAAGAAAAGAAGAAGGGGGGGGGGGGGAAGTTGAAGCAAGTTAAAATAACAGTCAAGATGTGCCAGCCTCTGTAGCTCCAGAGGATGCAGCGTTCCTGCTCTGCTTGCTGGCTGAAAACTGTGTAAACGGTGTAGCATGACAGAGACATCTGAAGCTTTAACCGGGATTGTATTACTCCTGGACATTCAAAAGTGAGAGCTGGCAGACAGGCATAGAGCATGAGTCAAGGAACTCTTATTATTTGGAAATGCAGTGTGTTCCTCAAACAGCCTGTTCCGTACGTTTTTGTGGAACCTCGCTGTTTGCTAAAGCTGTCTTGTCACGGTAGGCTATCCAGCGTGTGACTAGAGCAGGGATGACACCTGCTGCGTTAGTGTGTATGCCTGTATGTCATGCCGTGCATGTTGCAAATGGACATAAGCACATTAGAAACCTGTGCCTTCTGCATAATAGACACGTACATACAGTATGTTTTCATGTTGAATTCACCGCTCACACATCCTAGCTTGGAAAAGGTTAGTTAAACATAAGCTGCTTGTTTAGTGGCTGTATGGCTATTAAAAAAATCTTTTACTCTGGAAAACAGACCAAATGTGACAACTCATTTCAAAACATGTAGGTGGTTCAGGTGGATACTCAAACCCTGATTCAGCAAGGCAAAGGTCCTCCATGAAAAGGTCATTTTTCTGTAGCTTAAAAACCTGCTGCTGTTTTTTAGGTGTAAAGCACCAAGACTCACAGAATTCTTTCTTGGCATTTTTGAATGCGCCTACCTCTGCTCTGGATCAATTTGAAGTAAGTGTACAGCTATTCTAACTTTCTGTTGGTCAGTGGAACTACTGCTGTTATGTGCAGGTTATATGCATATTTGCTGAGAGTTTGCCACTGTATTTTAATCACATTGCCCCATTTATATTTGTGTATAATAATATGTGAGAATTGTTTGTCATTTACAGTGCTGGCTGTCTTCTCTTGAACAAGTAATCGTAGTGAATTCTCTCTCAAACTTTGAATGCAGAAATTTTCCTGATTTTGTAGGGACCGTGAAAAGCGTAGTTGTTCAAATGGTCTTTCTTTGTATTCAGAAAAACGCTAAGTAATGTGGATACTGGTTTGGTAAAAATGAGAGAAAATACGTAAATAATTCTTGAATGTATTCCATGAAGTCACTGTATATTTATTAGGTTGTTTTCATGTTCGTTTCATTTTACACAGATCTGTAAAATCCAGATAACTGCTATTCATCTCCTCTCCACAGATCCTATATACTTAAAAAATAAATCTGTTTAATTCCTTTGTCACTTTCAGACAAAAGACCAGTTTAGGTAGAAAACTTGGAAGAAAAAAATTGAAACGATACTATACATTTAATATCTTCTTTTTTTAATCAACAGTAAGCAATGCATCATTTTTCTTTTAAAAGAACAGCTGGGGTGAAATACTGGTGAAACTGAATTCAGAGGGGACAAGGCAGCACCTTTACAGTTATACATTGGTCTAAAATTTGCCCCTTTTTTTTTGCTGATGGGTGTACAAGGTCATCACATTTAGCTATGAAAGAGCATAATCCCTTATGTTACTGATGTTCCAAAACTTACTTTGTTTTCATTGTGTATTCATTAATTCATTGTTCTCTCTTGAAGTCCTCACAATTAATACCATTTTTTAATTTGCTTTTTAATTATTTATCTTACAAGTTACTTTCAATATAAAAATCCTGTTGGAGTGTAGGAATATTATTTTAGTGAGTGAACGCTGGAAGAACATTGGGTTTTATACAGGTAGTTTATTGATTAATTGTCTATGAAAGGCAATTAATGAAAACTTACTGAGGTAACTGTTACTGGCACTAGTTATTTACAGTTCTTTATTTTTGCACTTTTATTTATACTGAACAGTTTTCTTCATCCATCTCTTTCTCTCTCTCTCTCTTTTTTTTTTTTACTGCTGTTTTCATTAAAATAGGATTCCTTTTCCTCCTCTTCATCCTCATTGATTGATTTTATGGATGACGTAAGTCTTTGACTTTCAAACCAGTAAATCCCTCAATAACAGAGATGAGTTGATTGATTTGGAATATTCAAACATTAATGCAGTCAACTTAAAAAATCTGCAAGTGCAGTGGAGAGCAGAATATTTCTATAATAGCATACTTACACCTATTTATATAGATGGATGTTCAATTTTAAAGTAAATGTTTTTCTTTAGGTGCAGGTGAAGAATTTTTAACAGCAAACAGTTTTTCTAATGGGGAGAAGCTGCTTTTGGGCCTTATCTACTGATGTGGCCTGTGGAAAATGGTTCCAAAATCACTGGCACGTTTGTTTCATTTAGTTCTATTGCTTCATATTATTACTTTACCATTAGTTGTTTCCAGTAGTTTTCTGATCACTTCAGTGAAAATGTTTTCTTTGCATACAGTTAATTTCTGTTTGCTCAAATAAAACGATGTCTCTTTTTTAGCCTATATTGTAAGAAGCAATTTTCATTATAACTGAACTTACTACTTTTTATTGCCATTTGAGATGCTAGTTTTTTATCAGGACAGTGTTTAAATATTTACCCTAGTTAATTGCATACTAAGGGAATTAAGTTAAAAGCTGAAAATTGACTGCATTATATTTCTTCCATACTGAAGTGGTAGGCACATGAAAGGAAATAATAATAAGTTTTTTAAAATTGAAGTATATACTACGCATCCATGGTAGAGGACCATCCGTTACAACTCTGTAGGTATATTGTGTGTGTACGTCTGTGTGTGCTTGTATATATGTGTATACACATACACACATATTTATACATATGTCTTTAAAATAGTATAATCCTATTTGCATTAAAATGTGATACAATTAATTTTATTCTAGAAACGTCTGCTGTGAAGGGTGTAACAAAGAGGGTATAGTATACAGGCCTGTTCTACTGATTGCATTTCCTTTGACAAACTCTGAAAGAGTGCTTTTCTTCTAGATGTTTTTTTTTCTGTAAATCAGGTATATATACCTTAGACAAAATGAGAAGGTACATCTGTGGTACTATAGTAGAAGGTACTTGCCTGCATTTTTGTATAGCGTATAGAAAACTTTGTCTTGCTGATATTTTGGAATTTTCTTGGAATTTTCTTACATTAAAAAAACAAGAGTACAGTTTCCTGTCATGCTAAATCTACAATAAATGAGTAACATTTATATCCTTCATCTGGATTAAAGAAGTGTTCTCTATGTTGCCTGAGTATTAGGAACACCTAGTTTGTAACAGCAGGCTCTTTCATAGAAAGTTACCTTTAAAAATATCTCATACTCTCTCCTAAAACCTGTTAAAAGAGAATTGAAGTACATATGTGGCAGAGTAGCTGATAATATTCTGTTTTGCAAGGGGAAACTTAAGACAAGAAAGTTTTCCTGGTTGCTATCTAGTTGGTTTTGAAGGACATCAGTACTTTATTCTGTGTTTATTGTTGATTGTTTTGGTTTTTTTAAAGAAGGCAGCATATTTTTTTCACAAGCATTTTGACAAAATCACATTTTTTAATCTATGCAAGTGAAGAATTTTCAACTGTGGGTGTACGTCCTTTAAGACATTCTTCTTGATTGGTCCACTCAGATCACATCTTTTCAGCTGCCCATCTTTTAGTCTTAGGTAAAATGCCAGGTATTAATGTGTAGATTGTTGCATGTGGATGACTTGCTACATGCCAAATCAAACTTTTCCTGTTACATCTTCAATCTGAGGCCAACAGGAGCATTTTTTTCCTCAGTTGCATTGGGCAAGGGTACGTGACTGGACTGGACTGGGCAGGGCCTAATGTCTCTAACACCAGGGCAGAATTCTTTCTCATCTGGCAAAACTGCAGAAGAGAGTTGATTGTTCAAAGATGCAAAGAGTATCTTGCAGACAAATGTAAGACTTGTTGAGCTACCTGTCTTTATTAGAAAGAGGGATAAAGCTGATGACGGTGTTAGTAGGTGAAAGGTGGTATAATTAAGTTGTGCTTAAAGTCAGTTCTGCATCTTTCATTTTGTTGTGGTTTAACCCCAGTCCTTAACTAAGTACCACACAGCCGCTCGCTCACGCTCTTCTTTTTTTTTGGGGAGAGAATTGGAAAAAAGTTAAAACCTGTGGGTTGAGGTAAAGACAGTTTAATAGGACAGCAAAGGAAGAGAAAATAATAATAATAATAATAATGATGATAAAAGAATATACAAAACACGTGATGCACAATGCAATTGCTCACCACCTGCAGACCAGTACCCAGCCAGTCCCTGCACAGCGATTGCTGCCCCCCTGGCCAACTCCCCCCAGTTTGTATACTGAGCATGACGTCATATGGTATGGAATATCCCTTTGGCCAGTTGGGTTAGCTGTCCTGGCTATGCTCCCTCCCAGCTTCTTGTGCACCTGGCAGAGCATGGGAAGGTGAAAAGTCCTTGACTTAGTATAAGGACTACTTAGCAAGAACTAGAACATCAGTGTGTTACCAACATTATTCTCTTACTAAATCCAAAATATAGCACCATGCCAGCTACTAGGAAGAAAATTAACTCTATCCTAGCCGAAACCAGGACACATTTATTGGACAATTACTTGATTCATTCACAGAGAAATTCATAATATATAACTTCTGAATTATTGAAATGAATGGTTATTTATGTTTTAGCTCATTGAGTTGCTTCAATATCAATGTAGTAGGTGGACTTAAATGAAAATAAGGGTATTAAAAATCCCTCCCCACTGAATGTGACCTCCATTCCCTTTCCAATATCTCTTTTTGACAGTAGTTACCTTGAAGGGCAGTGTTTCTTGCATCATCTCAAGAAGAATTAGTCTGTGCTCAGTCAAACCTGAGAAGCGTATGGGTTCTTTATATTAAGATGAAGGAAGAATTAGAAGTCCTCAGGTCAGACTCATGCAGTGCTGCAATATTGTATGGGTTTCAGGAAAACCTCTCCTGTAATCAAGCACCCCAAGTAAATATTACTGATGGCCCTTATTGTTTCTTCAGCCTCTGTGCTTCATTAAGAAATGACAGAGGGAGTGTAAAATAATATGCAGTTGCAGTTACATAGCACTCTTTGCAAGATCTCTGAAGTCTATTTAACGTATAGATGTGTAAGCAGCACTGAGTTTGGCCCACTGATTACATTTGGAGTTTACTAGGGTGGGTATGTCTTGTGTGTCTGCCATCTAAATTACATAATTGTTTATATCATTCTGTAAATGACTGGAGTTAATTCTAATTTTTTCAATGAAGAAAGCAATAGTTTTCCAATTTCTACTGGAGAGAAGTAAAAATAGATGTCCCGCTGCCTCTGTAGCCTGCAGATGCTGAGCAAGAAAAGTGGTAGCTCACTATTCGGATGACTAGCAGTCATTGTTGGTTCCAGCTGTCCCTCCTTGAAAAGATACTTGGTCAGGTTGGCAGAACCGGTGCCTAAATCCTCACAGCTGTGAAAGCCCACGCATTCAGAAATGATCCTTGCATCTCCTGTGCAAATGGGAGGGTGCAAAGGGGAGTAGGAATGGGCTTTGGCTGTCCCTGGTTTCTGATTTTGGTGGGGAGGGAAGTCACTCCCAGTGGCTCTAATATACTAATTTCTATACTTTGCCTCTGTTTCTCCTGTGTGTTGCAGGCTGTCTCTCAGTAACGTTGTCTAGGTGTTAAGTCTCCTGTGTTCACTAGAAGTGTCTGATAATGGAAGTGTTGGGGTTTGTTTTTTTGCCAGGTGGATCTTTGTGTATCTCACTAGCTACTAGAAGCAATCAACTTGTTTTATTTAAAGATGAGTTTGTGATTATTTAATAACAATAAAATGGAATCCCATTTTCCCTTGACTTGGTAGAAAATATTATTTTTCCCCTGTTATCAACACATTACGAATTAAAAATAGATTTCTTAAATCCTCCTGCAGTCTGTCTTCATGTGCAGTCCCTATGGGCTTTGGTTAGACTAAACAAATCTGAACTTTGTAAATAACCACAGAATAAATTGTGTTCTAAATTCTCATTATTAAACAGAATAAGCCATAGTAGTGTGTGGTGAGAGCCCTGACTCTACCTGCACATTCATAATTAAGTTTAGAATAATTCTGGTTCTTAATGATACTTTAAGTTGGACACATTGTGCTTCCAAGAGATCGCTTTATTCGTCTTGTTCGAAGTACAGAGATGCTAACTACAAGTTATTAGTGTAACGTAGCCTGCAGTTTCACTGCTATTGTCCAGCGTAAAAATACAGACTTTAAAATAACTGTTCCTTTTTTTTGATGTTTCTTCCCTCTTGTTGCCCCAGAATATCTTGTTTTTGAAATACTTGTAAAAATGAACATGTTTGTGTGTGTCTAAACACTACCTCTGGAGATAGAGCGACGAATTCTGAGCTGATGTATGTGTCACTGTTTGGTTTTGTAACATATTCTCCTCCTTTCTTTGTTAAAGCGCTCTCCTTCCTGTATTCCAGCTAACAAAGGCAGACGTGTAAGAGGCTGTCTTACTCTATGTGGCCCTTTATTTTTTGCCTGTTATGTACATGCCTTTGTTTAATGTATGGATTGTGTATTTACCTCACTGCATGTCTTGTGCTGCTGCTACCGTTTGCTGCTGCTGCTGTGCTTTTTGTTGTTTTACAGCTGTGGGCTAAAAGCTTTTGGAGTATTTCATTTGGTAATCCTATGAGCAGAATATCACAGTAACTGGAGAAGATGCTTTGGGTACTTTCTCATTTCAATATGAAAGTTCTTTGTGAAAGCTCATTGATCAGGTAGATGCAGGTTGGGAAGATGAGCAAATCTCAAATGAGGGCCTGTTTCTTCCCTTGCCCTTAGCAGAGGGCATGTGTTTAGTTATGGGAATTGCCTACAGAAGATAGAAGTTTGGCATTTGAGAGGCGTGTCATAGTAAATGATAGAAAATATCACAGTACAGAGATAAATAAATGGGAAGTAGAGAACTGAGTAAATTGGAGCATCAAGGAGGGCAGGAAAAATTCATACAAGGAAAACAGAGTTGGATGTGTTGTAGTCTGTTAAGCTGGAAAGCTCTATGGTGTTTCAAAAATCAAGGTGGATTTTTAAACGTGGTGTTCAAAGCTTTGTCAGACGTCAGACTGAATTCGTACCAGGTATGCTGTGTCCATTTTAAACTCATACTGCCACTTTTGTTTCTTTTACACACATATGATGATGATAGGAATAGGAAAGCATACAAAGCATTTATATTGAATATTCAATAAGTAAGCAATAATGTTCAACAGTTCTAATAATGACCTTACCTATGCAGTTCAAAGAACACCGCTCAGTGTCTCAGGCAAGCTTACAGTAACTGCTTGTTTTTGTTGGCTGTGGCTCCAATTCAGAAGTTCATCTCTCCTCAAGATGTGTATGCACTGGCCAGCTTTGGCTCAAACCTACACAGGTCACACCACATAGACAACTAAGCACAGTCCTGTGGAAGATGACAAGGCTATTACAATTTGGTAGGAAGTATTGTAATATGCTTTTGATAATCCAGTGGATTAGTTTAAAACTAATTTTAATGGTGTTAATATGGTCCACGTAAGCTTTTGGCCATAGTTGAGTCAGGTTGCTTTTGTACTTAGTTCTTCTAATTAAAGCAAGGAACCTGGAGATTACTGCAGCAATACAGCTTAAGGCCCTCTTTCTGCAGTAAAGGTGGTGGTTAAATTCCCTTCAAATTCTGTAATGGTAGATCAGGTTCTGTGTGTTTTGCGGGCTTTTTATGTTCGTAAGTAAAGTAAAAATACATTTTTTAGCAGTTGTCTTCAACCACAAAGGCTTTGTAGCACATTCCAGAAAAGTTCCATCATTCATATCGTGCTTGTACTAAATTTTTTAAGAGATACCATGAAAATTCTTTGGTATGCAGATGCTACTTTGAAAGGGAAAGCCTTTAGAGTATCTGGAAACATTTAAGAAATGATAGATTAGATCTCTGAGTTTAACTTGCAGAAGAAAAGGAATGTCTTGCTATGAAAAATTCGCCTGTAGTTACTCATTGGGCTTAATTTTTAATAACACTTTTAAGAAGAAAAGTAGGATTGTTCGAGGTTAAACAGTCTTTGAGTGGACTCCAAATTATCACGTTTAGACTCGATAAAAACAAAGTTTAAAATAATTGAAACAATGTTACGTGTCTGGGGATTTACTACTTAAAGACATCAATGTTTCTAATACTGGATAAAGCTTCCAATTATTACTTGCTTCTGATAAATCTGAGCACAAAATGTTTGCTTTACTGCTAATTTTTGCCTCAATGCTTGAAACACATGATCGATGTGTAGAAAACAGGTGTATCCCTGTGTAAGAATTTCCCGTTTTCATTAAAGAAATACTTGCAGGCATCTTAATATGCCTAAGTTGATTAAGCTGATGAGCATTATGAGCATGCTCCACCAGATAATTTTTTTTGAAGGCTATGATAAAACTAGAAGCCATCAAACTTAAGTCACTACTATTTAAAAAAAAAAAAAAAGAAAGAAAGAAAGAAAAAGAAAAAAGAAAAAACAGCAACTGCACCTGTTCGCTACCATGACTGAGTTTCTGGAGAACAGGACTGTATATGCATGTATAAGATTGGCTTGTCAATGTATTTTATTCCCAAAAAGCAGTAAAGTTTGCAGAATTCTTAGTATGATGTCAATGGCAAATGAGGTAAAAAACACTGGAATGTTCAAATGCTTTCTGTAAACATTGCTGCATATTTTAGGTTGTGTGCAAGCTAGCCAATTCCTTAGCAATGGAGAACTGATGCTAGCATTGCTCCAGAAAAGCCAGGCATGCAATGGAGCCTTCTGTAGGCCTCCAGCTTTTAGTTTTATTATTAGTGGAGAAAAGCATCCTCATCTCGCTATAATTTTTTAAAAAATATTTAAGTTTACATAGAAGACTTCGATATGGAGATGTCTTGTTTTCAAGGAAGAATCCTGCATTTTCTGATTTTTCAGTTGCACTGACAAAAGATGACTTGTTTTCCAAGATACCTGGTTGTACCTATGTGCCTTGTTGTTCAGTGTAGTTCTGTGTTGGGCTTAGTTTCATTGTGTATGAAGGACTAGGAAAATATTGCCCTGAAGAAACTGGTAAGGACGTTTTTGTAGTTCAAATGGCGTACAAAAAAAACCCCAATTCTCTGCGAATATAATTAACACTAACCTCAGGAAATATGTTGTTTGCTCTGCCTTTTCTCCTTATTTCTTCCTGAATATGTTTGCAGTGATTTACATGGGCTATATGGGAATTCACTTCTAACAAATCTCTACTACCAGTGGACAAAACCCAGTAGTGTTTAGAAAATACTCACCCTTCTAAAATGCTGAATTACAAGTCTCTTCAAGTGTTTATCAGGCCCCTGAACTAGCAGCTCTTATGCATGTGCTCACCTCTCAGCAGAAGCCTTGGCGTGTTCATATTCAGTAATTTTCATTGCATTTTTGTACTTTAATTAGGAAGTTGCTTAAAACTGAATTTTTATCCTCTCAGTTCTCTCTTAGGAATTCTACTGCTCCCATATCTTATTTTGGTAAGAGTTGGGAATTCTTTTTTAATGAGGTCTTTGATTTATTTTTTCGGTTGTTTTTTTCTCTTGAATTGTTCTCCTAGATTGATTCAGTTGAGAATTTTACATTGTCTAATACTCCATCACGGGATGAAGATAGCAAGTCTCACCTCCATTCAAGGTCAAGGTCTCCTTCTACAGCTAGTGAGATTGAACCAATTGAGGTACTTCAGTGTTGACAAATTTTTGTCCTTTTTTTAGGAGTAACAGTTTCACTCATATAAAAATTGCTATTGCAAATTCTTTTGCTTAGAATGAAGCTCACTCCTCTGCAGCAAGACTATTTAGGACCTTGTAATAGCCTTCTGCACTAGTGGTGAACTGTATTTTGGGGAATGTTGCATTTCCTTTCACATATGGCTAATTGATTAGGGATGGGAACTATGTTGAATCAATTGTTAGATACAGTCTCTTTTCGTAACATATGCCTCAGTCATGAATATTTAAGAAATGTTGGCACAAAGTTAATGTTATACTGTAGTTTGTAAGAGCACGCTTTGGAGTTCTCCTGAAAGTCTTTGTCAATACGAAATGTTAGCCAGGCTTTGCAACTATAATAATGTTCCCTTTCCCTGTTAAAAAATTTAACGCTCTGATTATTATACATTAGAAAAGATTCAATCAAATGTTTAAAAGTTACTTTTGACATTTACAAGATGAATCTTACACGTAATTTTGCTGAGAAATAAGATTTGGTTTTCTGAGTCCTTTCCTGTGTTAATCAGTTTGGTTTCACTGCCTGTATGTTTGGGGATGGGGTGGGTGGGATGTTGTAGTCTTTTTACTTTATTCAAGCTATCTTTGATAGCGTGTCTTATTGATCCTTTGGGGACTACGTTCAGGTTACAGATCATCCTCCCCGTTCAATTCACACACCAACCATGAGGACAGCATATATTGGATCAGGACTCTCTGCACCAAAGGTATTCGGTCAATCGTTTGCACTTTTACATAGTAAGGGGGAAAATGTCACTCCTGGGCAACAGCTTCAGGAGAACTGTTTATCACAGTAATCTTACCAGAACTGTCTAGAAGGGTTATTTGTATGCAAGCTGGTTGCTTTCTAAAATGTAAACCCCTTCATTCTTACATTATGTGGTGTGACAAGTTGTACTAGGCATTCCACTGTAGCAGCACATAGGCATTTGATTATAGGAAAAACAGTAGTTTGGACATTAGAAAGAGATAAATGAACCAGAACATGAGGAAAGGAAAAAAGACTTCCTAGAAAGAGACTGTTTTCTGGCATGTGTCTGACCAACCTGCCTTTATCCTCTGCATGCAATAAAACTGATGTCACTGCGGGCCAGTGTCGGATTAGCACATCTGTGTGCTGATTAGATGCTTATTTTTGAGAAAAGGCAAAGAGTAAGCCTAAAATGAAAACGTAGATTTGCATTTTTTATAAGCAATGTCGAGTGAGCACTGCAGCCAGCACTGCAGCACTGGGCTGGGAGAAGGAATTCCAGTTTTTCTGCCTTCTGGCTTTTTACTTGCATAAATACTGATTTTACGTCAGTTGTTGAAATTATTTTGCTGTTGGCCAAGTAAGCCATCAGCGTATGCTAATTCACAGTGAATGGTGTATATTCAAGCAAATGAGGAACAAGATACAAGCTATTAAAGGAAAAATTTTCTCATAAAAGTTTCAGAATTGCCTCGATGGTTTAGGAATCTTCTGTATATTTTAAAAAATGACCGTTTTTATGCAACTAATCAATGAAGTAAGTAAGTCTTTCTAATAGATCTGTTTCTCTGCTTTGATAAATTGGAAAATAGCAAAAGACTTCATCTGTGTAAAGGAAAGCTAAAAAGTTTGAGCAGACAGTGTTCTGTTGGCAACATCTTAGTAGATCAATTAAAATACTGTAAGTGCACTTGGAATCAAGTGAAACAGATTTTTCTGTGCACATCATTTCATTTTTGCAAATATTTTTCATAGTAAGTAATGATTGGCTTTTTAATTTATTATGTTCCCTAAAGAACCTTCTTACTTTATGATTGCATCAGTTTTTAAAGCTAAGTATTGTTTCCCTGCAAGTTTCAAAACAAGACATCCATCTGTAGACAGAAAGCTTCCATTGTAACTGTAAAACTGTCATTAAATATGGATGAAGTTTGAGCCTTTAGCTGTGATATCTTATGCTGTGAAAAACAGGAAAGTGAGTACAATTTTAATATACCTACTCATTAAAGTAGTCTGCAAAATTGTCTTACTTCAAATCACATACATTATCTTATCCAGGTTGTTTGGACAGCCTTTGCATTCACCGTGTGCTGTACCCTTTCTCCACCTACCAGTTGTTACTTTACTGGGAGGTTTTTTAGAAAAGCAAAGCAGCTTCCTGGATTTTATCTAAGGCCTTTTATGAATCATGCTACCACATTATGTAGTTATTTAGCCTTGATATCATAGCATCAGCACTGCCATCCTTGAGGGGAGAGAGAGAATTAAAACACTTACTCATGTGGTCTGTGTTCCCAAGAACTAACAAGAAGAGAAGCTCTTTCAAAATCAATTTCATCTATACTCTTGCTTTTAAATTGGGTGTTCTGAAATTGCCTGTGCCTGACACCATAAAACTGAACTCTCTCATGCTTTCTGGCATAAAAATTAGAATTTTGAAAAAGCCTGATATTTTTCTTTGAACTAAGGCAACACTCCTTACAGAGGAGCATTGAATTTGCAGCTTAAAAAATACTGTGGTGGGTTGACCTTGGCTGGCCGCCAGGTGCCCACCAAGCACATACATACACACATTCAACTTCTAGAGTGTAATGGAATAATTTTGGCAACTTTCCTATCTGCAATGGAGGCAAACTCGTATTCTGAGACAAGGTCCAGTTTCCATGGTTTCATTTACAGAGATGGTTTAAATTATCAATTACAAGCACTGATGAGGAATTTTTTTCAGCCTATGTGTTAGGAGCTCAGATCTCATTTCAGCAAACACAAATAAGCTACCTTTTTAAATGCACCTGTGCACACTTATGTCTGTGAAAAAAATAACTGTTCCTCAGAAGTGTTACAGGTATTAACATCCTTGTCTGCTTGTTTCGCAGCCTAAAGCCCACCAGTTTGTAGTGAAATCATTTAATACACCAACAAAATGCAATCAGTGCACATCTCTGATGGTCGGTTTAATACGACAGGGCTGTACTTGTGAAGGTAAGCACTTGCAAAAGCAGGAAGTGTGAACTGAAGTTCTTATAGATGCAGATTGCACAGTAAATGTGGTGTGATAATGCAGGAGTCTTCTGTTTATATTTTGAATAACAGAATGTATTCTTATGCTTCAGTCTTTTAACAATAGAAGCCAAACACTTTGAACATCTTATGTTACAGATTACCTAGTTATCTGGGAACATACTTATTCCAGTTGGTGGTAGATGATCTTAGTTCAGTTTACTTAAAATAGCAATAAGGGGCCACAGTCAGTGCAGCTTTGCTTTCTGACTCAGGTCAAAATGTAAGACACCTTTGCCATTCAGTACCAATTTTGCTTCTTTCCAGGACTGATTTATTCTAGGTTTGTACGTTTGTACACAGAACAACACTCATTATTTAGATGAGCTTCCAGCTTTTTGTTTACTGGTAGAGTTGGGCCTACACGAAGTCATAGAGATTATCTCAGTATGAACTTCTGATTAGGCTCTTTCTTACCTGGATGAAACCAGGCTGTGTATCCATACACCTCTGAAAATGAGAAAATCAGAATTTAGAGCAGATAAAAGCATGAATTGCTGCTGTGTGCAGACTTACATTTCTGTCTCGCTGTAGCAAAGTTCAGTGAAACTATTCAGCTGTTGGTCAAAAAAAGAGAGGATTCCTTTATGAATGTCATCGTCATTATCATAGCTTTTGAATTGCGCAAGAAATAGCCATCAAATCTTTTTGTTTCTTCTCCTTCTCACAAGTATGTGGATTCTCTTGCCACGTGACCTGTGCAGACAAGGCTCCTGCAGTATGTCCAATCCCTCCCGAACAGACTAAGGGACCTTTGGGAATAGATCCGCAGAAAGGCATAGGAACAGCTTATGAAGGACATGTCCGAGTAAGTATCAGGTAGCTGCATTTGGGGCACTTACATTAAATCTGTTGTTTTCCAGAGCTGGAATTAAACTCCAAATGGGGCATCAGGGGGCGGATGGATTCAATTATACCTTACAGTAACGGTTTGGAAATTAAGACCTAAATTTTCACAAAGCAACTCTCAGCATTTTCAACAGTAATTCTCTCTCCATTTCTGTTGGCCATTGTGCTTTGAGTTGGCCTTGAATAGTCCATCTGTAGACATCAGATCATCTTCCAGGGTCTGAGTTTTTGAGTCTTTTTGTTGATGCTAGTACTGTCTGGGTTTGTTGGTGTGGATACTTGTACATAAATACTAAAAAAATGACTTGACATAATTTTGGCCATATTCCTGTTGACGAACTAGAGATGGGTTTCTTTCTCTGTATTTGTTAATATAGCTTTGAATGAGTTTGTGAAATAAGAAGAAACAACCTGTTCTGCTATGAATTTTTTAAGTAATACATTGTGGTGTCTGTGTGGCTGCGTTTGATGCTCTTACTGCACCTGTGCTATTGCTGATGTTGCTTAACATTATCACTGATTAAAAGCTTGTCAGCCCAGATGAGAGAATTGATTTTTGTACTGTCTGTTTGATTTTTGATTGCATGCAAACTTACAGAGAGTTGATCAGAATTTGTTTTGCTAAAGGTACCAAAACCAGCTGGAGTAAAGAAAGGTTGGCAGAGAGCGCTGGCAGTGATCTGTGATTTTAAACTCTTCCTGTATGATGTAGCAGAAGGAAAAGCATCCCAGCCCAGCGTGATAGTGAGTCAGGTCATAGACATGAGGTAAGCTGTTCAGTGCTGAGTGGGAGCTTTTCAGAGGCACTGGGAGGTTTTTTTCTGCTTTTCCTTTTTCTGAAATCAGTAAGCAATCTCCAGAGCTTTTATGAAACACTGTAATCCATGTTGAGAGCCTCTAATGTTCCAGAAAAAAGCAGTATTTGCAGTTAGCCTGAACGACACTTGTGTGTTCATATGTGGCAATTTAAACTTCCATTACTACATCATGTGCCAAAATGCATCTGTTCAGCTGTGTAGAAGATCTGGAATGAATAAAGAAGAAAAATACATCCGTTTGGGGTTGAATAGAGTTCTGAAAGACAGATAAAACTTCGTTATAGCATAAAGCTAATACAATTTTTGATTCAGAAGGGCTAAATAGTTTGTTCCCACTGTCTTCAGTATAACTGAAATACTACCAACTTCACTGAAGGTTGAGAATATTTAACATACCAACTAAGTAAAGCTCATCTCTGAACTAGGTTAGTTTATCCAGGAAGTCTCAGAGAGCTTACAGCTTCTAGTGAGTTTGGATTTTTATGAAAGAGTTGGAGAGGTGTTCTTGGTCCAGGCTTATTTTTTAAGTTTGATTATTTTTTTTCAAAAAGGCTTTAATTTAAACAGACAAGAAACAGATATTCTGAATAGATTTATCTCCATCAACATTCACCAGGAATTAATTATGCAACATTGCATTTGTGAGTTTCATCTGCAGATAAAGAGGAAAGGATAATTTTTAAAATTAGGTCTCAGTACTGTCTTGTTGTGTCCTTCACAAAACAAGGCTATTGGTACTATGGAAATATAAGTAAAAAACAAACATACAGATTTTACTCTTTAACTCTTTTCCAATTATGTTTGTGGTCTCCATAAGGGATGAAGAATTCTCAGTGAGTTCTGTCTTGGCCTCAGATGTCATCCATGCAAATCGAAAAGATATCCCCTGTATCTTTAGGGTAAGTATTACGTCTTGAACCTAGTAACCCAGAAGTACAGGGTTTCACAGTATGATGTACGGTGTGCATTCACTGACGGCTTGCTAGTATTTTATTTCCTTTGCAAGTTCTGGCCATGTGGTATCCATGGCAGCAGCAGCAATGCATAAGGATCTGTACATATATCATTTTCGTGGTAAAAATAGCACTGGTACATTTAGACAAACTTTCATCTCCCCTTTACGTGGGTTTTATTTTTTTAACCTTCACAATAAGATGTACGTTTCTCAACCTGCTGTTAGTCATTTGGAATTCTTCTGTTCTTCATGATCTTCTACATTTTGATTTCCTAAAGTTGCCTGCTGCTTCTCAATTTGTTGTGGTTTTCCTGAAGCCTTTATTTTATGTATTTTTCTTCGTATATATGCATTGGATCTCTGAAAACTCCCATTCATCAGGTAGTCAGTTTAGAAATCTAGTGTAAAATGCTCATCAAAATTTATGTCTATTATTTGGTATCAGGATTTTGCCATCATTGGCTTTTTCTAATATTATTCTTATTTTTACTAGATATTCTACTGAAGCTTTGTCCTCAGTGAAGTATCTTTGGTGTCTTACTAATTCCCCTATCATTTTTTTACTATACCATTGTATTTCACTCCTTGTTTTTCCGGCTTTTAGACTGTTCATCACTCTGCATGCTGAGAGGAGATAAACCTACAAAAGGGGCTTTCATTTTTATCTATAGTAGCTGTACCAAATACATGAAAAGGATCATAGATCATTCTTCCGTAAAGACCATTCCTATCACATTAAATTATTAATGAAAACTATTGGCGTTAAAAAAAAAATACAGAATACTTTGTAAGAAATGCTTTTCATTATAAAATTGCTGTGAAAAACAATTGACTACCTTATTTAGGGCAGACATTTCCAAATTATAGAATAAATACAAATGCATTTAGAATAAAGCCAAAGTTTTCTCTGTTCTTTGCTGAGTTGTTCACATCTACAGGTTTTTCTGCTGTGGGTTCGTGATTGAGATAGTGCTTTCTGTTAACTAAGGCTAAATTTTTGCATTCTTAGCTCAGACAGCTAATTAAAAGGGTACTTACAGGCATCTGATACCCTTGTAAACACTATCATGATGAAATTTTTTATCGCTTATGACTTAAAATATGTATTTTAAAATTTTCCAGGTTACAGCTTCCCAGCTCTCTGCATCCAGTAATAAGTGTTCAATCCTGATTCTAGCAGACGGTGAGAATGAAAAAAGCAAGTGGGTAGGAGTGCTGAATGAATTGCATAGGATCTTGAAGAAGAACAAACTCAAAGACCGCTCAGTCTATGTTCCCAAAGAAGCTTATGACAGCACCTTACCCCTCATCAAAACAACACAGTCAGCAGCAATCATAGGTATGAAATGAATAAGAAGAAAGCTCTAAGAAAAATGGGTATGCTAAAAGCATGCTTTTTTTGCAAAAAACGTGTTAAATGGCGTTATCTACTGAATGGAGAGTAATGTGTAGTGGTTTTATCGCATATGGAAATGTGTATGGGTTTAAGAGAGAAGTGCAATTTACTACCCAGTACTTTTGTCAGATATTTAAGAGTATTCCCCTATTCACACATATTCATAATTATGAATAATTTTGACTGAGAATTGGGCATTACTCTTATGTTATTCTGTAAACATAATTCCTTAACTGGGCAAAATTAGCACTATAGAATAGACATAAATCACTGACTACAAAATCTGCTTGTGGGACCAGAGAGAAAACATAAAAGCAGAGTATGAATTTAGTCATTTTAAATGCTACTGCATAAACTATGTTTAACTCTGATTATTTAAATTATTTAAATAGGATATTATTGTTATTTCAAAGTCAGTAGTACACTTAAGTGCTCTGAATGGTTTGTTAAAAATGTTGTTTCTTGCTGTTACATCGACTAACAGGAGAAATGGGAAAAGACTTTTTTTTTTAAATTTGAAAGATTGGGAGGTTAACAATGGTTTTTTGTTACATGAATGTGTTGGGTTTGGCTTTATGTTTGTTTATTTCAAGATATTAAAAAACTGTCTCTGTTAATCAGAATTATAACTATTGTTGAAGAAGTATTTCCAAAGAAAAATAACCTTTTTTTTTTTCTTAATATCATAGACCATGAAAGAATAGCTCTGGGGAATGAAGAAGGGTTATTCGTTGTGCATGTCACCAAAGACGGTAAGAGATTACGAACTGGTAATAATTTCCCTAATATTAAATAATCAGAAAGTGACTTTGGAACCTTTTTTCTCTTTCAATATCCTCTGGTGGTGTTTTTCTTGATTTACTACATTATCAGCTGGACAACCCCATGTGAGAGCTGATAATCAAGAAGGTGTTCTGTGTGCCTTCTGTTTTGGGTATCCTTTCCAGTAACAAAGGTCCAGCATCTGGAATGCAGTTGAAGGTTTTCTTCCCTTGTTTGAAGCAGGCTCAATACTGAATTCAGACCGGGTTGCTCAGGATTTTGTCCAGTCGGGTCTTGAAAATCCCCAAGGACGGAGGTTCCACAATCTCTCTGGGCTGCCTGTTGCAAATTATTCTCACAATAAAACATTTTCTTTGTATGTCCATTAGGAACCTCCCTTATTTCAATCTGTGACTATTGTATCCTCTTCTCCTGCTGTGCACCTCAGTAAGGAGCCTGGCTTGATCCTTTCTGTAACCTACTCCTTGGTACTGGAAATGAAAACTTATGTTCTAGTATTGTAAAGAGGTGTAATGACAGATGCCCAAGCTAATTCAACAAGCAACATGTTTAATTGTGTGTTTCAGTTCTTTGAGGATTTTCCTTTATTCAGTAGTTTTGTGGTTATAAACTGGTTTTGAAATGAATACTGAGATAGTACAGCAGTTGTTATTGTATCGGATCTGCTCCTCCCTTTTTCTGATGAGGAAAAACCAAAGGTCTATCCAGCACTGCCGCATCTGGTATTACTAAAATAGAAGTTTTGATTCTGTACTTTTTAACATTGCAGAGAAGCAATCAAGGGGATTTTTTGGGTTTCCTTCATAGTTTATCTTTACAAATACATATGTTATAATCAATTCACACTTCAACGTTATTTACTTAGATTTGGGGGGTTTTGTTTTGTTTTGCCTTTTTTTTAGAGATTATCCGTGTTGGTGACAATAAGAAGGTTCATCAGATTGAGCTTATCCCAAATGAACAGCTCATTGCAGTAATCTCAGGACGAAACCGTCATGTGCGACTTTTCCCTATGGCTGCCCTGGATGGAAGGGAGACTGAGTTTTATAAGCTGGCAGAGACAAAAGGCTGTCAGTCAATAGTTTCTGGACACGTGCGCCATGGAGCTCTTACATGCCTGTGTGTAGCTATGAAAAGGCAGGTCCTCTGTTATGAACTAAATCAGAGTAAGACACGTCACAAAAAGATCAAGGAGATCCAAGTCCAGGGGAATGTCCAGTGGATGTCAGTCTTCAGTGACCGTCTTTGTGTGGGCTACCAGTCAGGTTTCTTAAAATACCCTCTTCACGGAGAAGGCAGCCCGTACAGTCTGCTCCATCCAGATGACCACACACTATCATTTATCTCACAGCAGCCAACTGATGCCATCTGTGCAGTCGAAATCTCAAATAAAGAATACCTGCTGTGTTTTAGCAGCGTAGGGGTTTACGTTGACTGCCAGGGCCGACGATCCAGACAACAAGAATTGATGTGGCCCGCAACTCCATCTTCTTGCTGTAAGTTGCCGTGTGTGTCAGTGTACTTGCTATTATACATTGAAGTGATCACTGCTTGTATTACTATCCACGGGAAGTGAAGTTCAAGGATAATTACCTGACAGGTAAATGAACGCCCTCAGCTTCTGTCAGCATTTTTAATCCAGTCAGAGGGTTTAATCCTGATCTCATTTATGCTCATTTTGACAACTCTGTCACTGACCTATGTTGATGTACCACAAAGAGGAATCAAGGGTCAGGATTTCCAACTCTGATGTCCAATTTCTAAACACATGGCCTGATCTCTAAAACAGCCGAAAGCCTCAGGTCCTACAGAGGCTAATGGGATCTTTATGCATTCGCTACCACTGATACTGGACCGTTGTTATTTAAAGTCTTAAAATCTGATTGTACTTTGGCTCAGCATTGTGATTCAAGCTTTCTTGATGTTCAGAGTCATCAGGATCTGGTAGTTTGACTTGTTTTTCTCTAATGGTGTTTATTCCTGCTTAGTAGGTTTTTTCTTTTCTTTCCTTACTCCTTCATTCTCTCTTCCTCGGCTTTTTTTGTTGACACTCTTCTCATTCATCTCCTCTCTTTGCTTTTTTAAAAAATCATTTTTTAATTTTTTCCTCCTCTGTCTCCCACTTCCCTTCCAAAATACAATGTATGGCAGGCAGTATAGAAAATATATTTCATAACCTTAAGGGAAAAATACTGTAATTTTTCAAGATTTCGGTTTCCAGCAAGAACTGTGTTAAACATTTATTGCAAGTTTTTTCAAAGCTGCGGCTTTATCTTTCTGACAGTTGGAGGGGAAAAAAAACCTGCAATGCCCATCTTCTTCTTTTTAATGTCTTTCTGAATGCAGATAAAGATTAGCCAAATTTGCCCTCAGAGTATCTGTGAATGAGCCCAGTCTTATGTTGATTTTTAAAATAGTCTGCCTGTCACACTGCAGAGGAGAGGAATGTTTCACCTTGTTTGAATGTGGAATGTGGAAGGAGCAACTTTTACAGGCTGTATGTCACTTCTGGTTTTCAAGCAAGAGTGTGATTATTACAATGGACTCAGAGAATGAATGAATCAAAATAAAAGATTTTGTGATAGATTGAAAAACAGGTATTTTCACATGCAGTTCATCTATACTGGTCATTGATATTTGTGAAAGTTATTTGATTGCCTTAAATGAAGTGACTTGATGTTATTCCAATTCAGAATGGAGGTATATTTTATAGCAAAAACTGTTACATTTAAACACAAATTGGATGCTCTTGTTAGTCTTGGCAGACCATGGCAGTCTTGTTGCCGACATGGAAATCCTGACTTCTCCTTTAGAAGTGGTCCCAGTGGAACAAATTTCATCCTGGGGAAATGTGCCAGATGAGTAGCACAAGAATTCTCTTTACAATCCAGAAAATAAGAAAAGAGACTTAAAGCTAGAAGGAAACATGAAGATTTTTGTGACTGTGTCATGGTTCTTAGTTCCAACTTATGTTCCTTTAGTACAAAGTCCAAAGACTAAGAGTTCGGTTCATTCAAATGATAGTTATTAAATAACAACAATATATTTTCCTACCACATCATTTACAAAATACAAGCTCTTAAAAATAGGGCTTTTAGAAGAAAAAAACTTTGAACCACATCAGTGTTTGGCAAAGTAAACTGTAATCCCTTGTAGTTCAAAAAGTAGGTTCTGCAAAGTTAAAAGTCATGGAGGTTTTAGGGTTTTTGGTGGTGGTTTGCCTTCAGAATAAATTTCTTGGTAATTTTTGAGTTAAAACACATTTTGCAAAAATTGTTGTTGGATTGTGGGGTGGGTTTTTTTGTAATAAATATGGTTAAACCATAAGAAATTGTATGTTTTGAGCCTGTCTATGACATGACATGTCATAGCCCTGACATGACACTATACCTAATCCTTACCTCTCAGGTTACAATGCACCATACCTCTCTGTATACAGTGAAAATGCAATTGATATCTTTGATGTGAACTCCATGGAGTGGATTCAGACTATTCCTCTCAAAAAGGTAACTTGCTGTTTCAATATCAGTTAAATAGTATGTCTAGAGTCAATATTGCTTTGCTACAGTTATACTGGGTTTTTTAAGCACATTAAAACTGCTTGTTTAAAAACAATTGAACTAAAAGAAGAGCTACTGCAAACAAACCAGTGCTTTTTGTTCAAAGTACAAGTTATGAAACACATTTTGCATGTGGTTTCAGTGTTTTAGAGGAATGGTCAATCTGGAGCGTATGAGTATGTTAGACTTACTGATACTATTGCAGGGAGCAGCTTCTTTGTATTAATTGCATGTGGCTTCATTGGGACTGATTGCATCTATGTTATTGCCAGAAGGTGGTGGATGTTAAACAGGTGGATAATTAAACAGACCTTCAAAAATCTGTCTTCTGCTGCTTGAAAACATTGTAGGTAGATAGGGTTAGAACATTTTGGTTCAACCAGTACAAATATTAAAACACCAGGATGATGTCAGGTTTGGATCACTTATTAAAAGGAAGAAGTTGTTGAAAACTGACACTTCCTTGGTATTTAGGAGGTGTTTGCTCAACTGTATTTGGAAAGAAAAAAGAAAAGTGGCTTTTTTCCCATAGTTTAGACTGACTTCAACTTTGTATTAGTGTCAACATAATTCCTTTAACTGGCATTCCAGTGACATAGAACTACAAGAAATTGTCCTTGTGGTCTTGTGTTAGTCATTCAGTCTCTCTGCATATCAATTTCCCACATGTCAGATGCAGACCAGGATATGGCAATGCTGTAAAGATAAATAATGCAAAGATCAAGGTGCTCAGCTATTAACCATCTTAAGGAGGGAAGAAGAATCTGGCCTTTTAGAGGAAATTTCCTCTACTCTTTCTGATGTCCAAACTTTGAGTTATTAAGCAGTTGGAGCATTTTTTTTCCTACACAGCAGAACGTGATTTAGTACTTTGATTAATATCTGGCTCAAGACTGCCCATTTAATAAATGAAGCTAGTTTCAACAAACAAGAATTGCTACATCTAGGAGACTCAAAAATGGCAATTTATTATGAAGAGTTCGTTTCTAACACAATTTGCAGACTCAAAGAGTGGAATGCTTCTTTCATTTTGAAGTTGGAAATCACAAATACCAGTAGGTTTTAGCAAAACCACATTTAGCAACTCTTATCAAGTTGCAAAGCGTAGTTGTGACATGATACTAACACAAAATAAAAGCACAGCTTATTGCTTTGTGCATTTAATAGACAAAATCGAATTCTTATATGAAATAGACTTCTAACAGAACTATTTATTTAAATGCTGGGAGGAATGGTGTTAAGCCTATGTCCTTAAGTGGAATTTTAGGCAACTCCCTCTGTACTCATTCTCCAAACAGAAGTTTAAAATCTAAAACTGCTTTTAACCCTGTTTCGTGGCTTTAATGACTCACAATTGTTATTCTTGCGAGCAGGCATGTGTTACTGGAGATTGGAGACACTGCTCCCTCCAGCCTGCAGTTCTTCTGTGGAGCAGGGTTCGCTCTGGCCCGTTAAGATGTTCTGCTCCCTGGTTGGCCTTATAACGGTGCTCCTTTTATAGAGTTTATAATGCACCCTGGAGCTTTCAGAATAAGATGCACTATATAGATGTGAGTTATTACTATTATAAGGACTGATTTTCTTTTTCAGGTACGACCCTTGAATACAGAAGGATCACTAAACCTTTTAGGCCTGGAGACAGTTAGATTAATATATTTCAAAAACAAAATGGCAGGTAAGTAAAGAGAAGCCAATTTTCATCATGTAAATTTTTGTTTAGAAAGTGCGTTTTTCTTTGGCCTGGATCTGTGCGTTGTAGAAAGTGATCTCTCAAACGTATGGGTCCTTGTTAACTTGGGAGAAAGCGAAAGCTTATAGATTCCACAGTGATTGCAATCATGTCTGCGAGGCAGCTACTCTGAACATTTTTTTCCCTTTTGAATATTCAGTGAAGACTGGAAATAGAAAACAGAATGACTAGACACTCCCTCCAAATCTGGGATCACCTGCCAGAACACTATCTAAAAATGCCTGCACAATTAAAGACTTTAATAGTGATCTCGGCAGTACTATATTAAAATTAATATTATACTTAACCTAAACAAACCTTTCCCAAGGATCAGACAGTAATATAATATAGTGTATTCATAACTTGTTATTAGGGCTACATAGGATTGTGTGCCAAAGTTTTAGCTTCAGAATTCTATTTTTGTTATGAGTCTTTTTGACCTTTTTTTTCTTTTTAAAGCCCATTTCATAAGCATGCTCCTGAGTAATTTCCTTAACTTTTTTTTTAACCTCTTAGGTGGAGAGGGGATATGCTTTGTTTTAACAATTAAAGCTATTTTTTTTTTTTAACAACTGTTCTGAAAATAGTGGAAATAAGCACTCTAGAAACATATACTGCTGTTTGCAGTGTTTCAGTATTTATTTAAATTGCTAGCAAATTAGTACAAAAGGAATGACAGTGGTAGAGAGGAGCAATATGGTGGAAGTTTTTTTCCTGAAGCTACTTACCTAGTAGATCCCACACTTCATGAAATCTCCAGTTGATCTTAAGGAAAGAAGAGATTTCAGTTCCATACAAAAACTGTTTTGGCAGTGAGCAGTAGGTGTTGGATATGTCCAAACTTATTAAGTGTAACTTTAGTCTCCGTATATATAAAACAAGACAGAGCAGTTGCAGCGTTCATTCAAAGTAACGCTCCTACTGCGTGATTATCACCACTATATACTTCATGTCTTTATTAAAGATGCCTTGGCCAGACATACACATATGGAAAAAATCTTCCCTTTTCCCACAGTTGCACCAAAATACATCAGTGTTCAAACATTTCAAAAAGAGTGGTCTCTCTGGAGCAGGGAATGAATGAAAAAGAATCTTGCATTGAGTTTCCAGACGATTGGCAGAACAAGACTGCTCTAGTGATTTTCAGTGAGAACTGCCAAAGAAATTTTGAGGTAGAGGACTGAGATCCTTTCCTGCCACCTAAATGTTTTGTTTGAAAGAATTAATCAGTGGTGTTTTGAGAACACAGTTGTGGCAGCTTGTGTGTGAAGAAGGGTTAAGTCTGTTGCTATATAACAGAGTAGATAGTGACCAAGAAAACCCATAAACCAAGGAGCATTTGTTCAGTTTTGATGGGAAATGGGTAGTGTCCAACATTAGCAAGAGCAGAGGGAAAAAATGTCTTTGAATTCAAATTCCATGGATACCTAATGAATTGTCCCAGTGGATCATCATATTTATATTTATTTCAGAGGGTGATGAACTGGTAGTTCCTGAGACATCAGATAACAGCCGGAAGCAAATGGTTCGAAACATCAACAACAAGCGCCGCTACTCATTCAGAGTACCAGAGGAGGAGAGGATGCAGCAGAGGAGGTCGGTATTCAACATGTACTTGTCTTCTGTACATGCCTGTAGGCCCTGAAGGACAGTGAGTGATGCCAATGTAGTACTTCATTTGTTGCTTTCTGGAGTGCCCATTCAGATGTTTCTGTCTCTTCACTACCGCCTTAATCCTCAATGTTTAATTTGTGTTAATACCAGTTTGGATATGGATATGCACTGGATACACAAGTATTCATTAGTTCAAATTAATTATGTGAAACAGCTGTAATTTGGAATGCATGTCTCCACATACTGTATATAGGTACATAGGCGTGCACATATACTGTATATATAAAGATCTGTAATAAACACTTTGCAAAAGGAGATTACATTGCTAACTATGCATATGGATTACTTACTTCCAGACTCTGGTTCTGCTTTTCTTTCTGAAGGCAATTCTACTCTCAGCAGTATTCCAAGGCATCTGCTTTTTTGATTTATAGATTTAACTACATAAACATTCTATAAATCTCAGAAAACTCACCTCTTCAGAGGACATAGGACTTCAGGATGTGTTTCTAATAGAAGTCTTTAACAGGTCACAAATACCTTCCTAAATGGCAATAAAAATAGGTCTTCACTACTCACAGTGTTCACAGAGGATGTTACTGACCATTTACTATCACTCACTAAAGATGACCTGCTCCTGTGCTAAGCTACACTCCAAGAACTGAGTATTTCAGTTTTCTAACTTCCAACGTCTTCCACCGATGGTTGGCTCCCAGCTTTCCTTCCTTTTTGGCTCTAAGAAAAGTAACAGCTGTGTACAGTGGAGATAAAATTCCAGTTCTTGTCCTTGCATTTCTGAGTTGATCGCAGTTTGGTGTTTTAAAATTTTATTTATTCTGAGTTCTGAAATGCATCCTTGCCATTTTGAAGAGCTTTTAATTCTGACCACAGACTGAGAAAGGTACTGCAGTATTATTTTAATTCTATTTTCATATTTGTACTTCATTTTCATCTCCACTTTGTAATACATCACAAATGAGTTATGCTTTTACTCATCTTACAGAGCTTTCTATCAGCTCATAGTGTTTGTATATTCTTTGAATATTAGTAACTACTGGGCATGGGCTGTTAGCCTGCAAACCGCATTCTTTTGTTCTGGCCCCTTGCCCTCTCTTCAAGCTGGAAGCTTGTCCATGCCAGTGCTGATAGCAAGGGTTTATCACTGTTAACATGGTTAAATAGTTAATTTCCATTTAAAAGTAGCTGATAATCAAAGCTGTACTTGTTTCATAAAAGTCCATCCTCACCTCGAATGAAATATCTAAACAAAGTATTTTCTCTTCCAGAGAGATGCTACGTGATCCGGAAATGAGAAATAAATTAATTTCTAACCCAACTAATTTTAACCACATAGCACATATGGGTCCTGGAGATGGTATACAGATTCTCAAAGACCTTCCAATAGTAAGTACAGAAGCACATGTGAGAGTGACTGACTGCAACAGAGGCTGCAAATAAGTGAGAGAAAGACAAGTACAATTTTAAATGTATATTCAGAATGTTGATGTATTTCATATCAGGAGCAGTGTAACTAGGGAAATGGAGCTAAACGTGCTCTGCTGTATGTGATAAAATTTAAACAAAGAGGATGACACTTAAGCATTGAGGGGTAGGAGGAGGAGTGGCTAATGCCTCCTGGGTTTTAAGACAGGTTGGCCTCTCAGTGTTGATGATAATTTTTATGACCCATATGAAAGGACAAAATTAAGAGGATTTGGGCCTGTGTTCTTTGTGGGAATGGAGAGAGAAATTCCTTTCTCCGTGAACTGTATTATTGTAAGTTCAATTCCTTTCTTCTCTTCCCATCTTTAGCTCCAACTTAGCCTCTCTCTTTACAGCCTCTTTTCCTCAGACAGCGGAACTGTAGCAGTTCAACAGCGTGTAGTGCCCAAATTTCTTTCCAAAGGTGCTATTTTTCATTTTCTTTAAAAATTAACTAGTCTCAATGAAGCAGAACTTCTTACATAAAAGCTAACCTTTTAAGTTGAAAAATGGAAAAAGAAAACATGTAATAGCACACACACATGTTCATTTGCACGAAACCTTATGTAGGAAATACTCACCTGGAAGTTACTGAAATTTTTGATGACCAATTAATATTTTGTTCATAGGAGAGTATCATACTGCTTGCTTCAAGCTACCTTGAGCATCTTGTTTGTGTGTTCTGTATTGTTTTCTAAACTCATCCACAATGACACAGATGTGATTCAGAAGGTGCTAATTAGCACTGTAAGAAAGATCAGATGATACAATATCAAACAGATGATATGAGTACCACCATAAGACATAGGCATTAATACAGAAGTGCTGTCTAAAATGATCATCGTTATTACTTGGAGTTTGTGCAGAAAGCAGGAGGTAGATGCTGAAATTGGGATTTTCAGATGCTGAAAAGCCCAAAGGAAACAACCATAAGGCTGGAAAATAGTGTGTGCCATGCAATTGCACTAGTTTAGGAGCTTAGGAGCATAACCTCTAGTCTCCAGGTACTCATTTTACTTCACTTTTGCGGGAAATGGTACTTTTATGTTACGCTTTACCGTAAAGTCTGCACATTGTACGTGAGCCCTTCTGTGTTTTCTGAGCCCTGGCACTGTGTTTTCCTTAGATGAGAATATGCAAGGAAAGATACTTTAAATCTCGTACTAGCGACACTCTGAGAAACCTCTCAATAACAAATATATTCAGTGCAATAGAGCAAAAAACAGCATTTTGTGTGTGTGTGTATGTATGTTTATAAATGAATAAATAATGAAGGAGCTGCTTCTAGAAAACACGTGACAAATCCAAGGGAAGTTGGCAGGTAGTGTTTTTCTTACCTGGATGTGAGTATACATGTGTCTAATGTTATAAAAGAATGATTATTTGCTTCAGGGCGGGATGTAGATCAGAACCTTTTTTCACTTTTCCATTTCTAGTGGGTTCTTTAAAATATTTCTGGTTCTTCTCAAGCAGTGAAAATAATCTGCTACTGCTAAAGGTAGGGCAAAAGACATCCCGTTTGACACTGTCGGTAGTTGAAAGTTCACGGGAATCAAAAGCTGCAAGGACTCTTAATCAAGCCCTAAATCTGGCAAGTGTAAAATGAGGAAAGACTTTATCTATAGAAGGTAATTTTCTAGACTTACATGGATTAATATTTCTTCAGCTATGTATTTCTAAATGACTTTTAGCTTTGAATTCATTCTAATTGGACAACCCTTGTATTAGCTCAAAGGTCATATTTGAAGTTAGGACTGGTACTTTGCTTCTTAGTAACCAATATGATGTTTTGAAAGAAATTCATGAATCACTTTCCACACTTAAAGGTGATGAGAAGACACTAGAAAATGTGTACAATATAGAATTGACTTCAGCACTTGTCCCACTGCTGCAGCTTCTTTTTAAAGTTACTATTAAAAACTCCTTTTTGGAAGTAGCTATCAGTCTTAATGCTGGGAGATACCACTGCAGATAAAGCAAATTTGACGTGTATTTTTCCAGCAGCTCCTTGCAATATCATATTGTATTTGTATTCCTAACTTAACAGATACAGAATTGCATCAGTCATGGGACTTGAAAGTGTGTGAATTTGAATGTGTAACTTGAGATTAGGAAATAAATGTTCTGTCAAGAGCCACTACAGTCCAGGCAGCTTTTTCTTTTCCAGCAGCTTCCTGTAAGGTATTTGGCTGGACTAAGTTGTCATTTAGTCTGTTCCAAACTACCTACTTTGTTTCTTAGGCACAAAAATAGAAGAAAAGGAGTTGTGCGTGCATATGATGTTATGTATCGAGTATGTTTTATTTGAAAGATAAATTTAGAATTAAAAGAGAGGATGGAAGTAGAGGACATTTCCTGGAGAATCAGTACACAAGGTAAAGAACACTCATCCAACCCTGTGTACAGTTCATTTGTATGGCAGTTTCTTTACAAAGATGTAGAATTATTTCACTAGATTCATACCTTGTTCCAAAAAGGTGAATAGCTTTTTTTTTTTTGTGCTTCTTAGCATGTGTGATGATTTTGCAGCTGGAACATCTTTGTATTTTTAAATAGATTAGTATGTTTCAGAGGAAAAAGTATTTATTTTTGAAGAACTATGGGAAAGATTGCAGCATTTTACTTTGCCTGTTTCTGTTTATGAAAGTGGATGATAAAATACATTTTTGCATTTAAAGAGGGCTGCCACTAGGGGGAACAAGTAGTGCAAGGCTAATAGTTTTCTCAAATTCTCTTCATCCAACTATTTTAGTTGATATAGCTTCTTTTTTTATGAGATGCAGAAAGTGTATGAAAGAATGGAGTGGGCCTTTTTACTTGCAGTTTATTCCAATTTATTTGAGCAATTTCAAATTTGGCTGGATCTACTGATACAAATTTGTTCATCCAGCATGACCTTTCACTGAAGTGAGTATGGTGCTATGTAGGCAGAAGGGTCCTTAGTAATAAATAGGTTTTAATAGAGAATAGATATTTTAATCTCTGTGTTGGATGAGATTGTCACAAACTAAATAGCCAGCTCAGCCTAGCTTTTATCTAGCATCCGTGGATGAACTTTATAAAGCAAATGACAATTTTTATGTATATGTATGTGTTTATATTTATTTATGAATATATACAGATTCACTATATATATGCAATGTGAATCCGATCAAAACTTACCTCTGCAGTCCCAGTAACCTGCCTCTGCTGCCTTTTTCAGGGGAAATGCCAAAAATTGAATGAAGCACAGAATTAGAACTGGTAGCGATGGCCATTGCGTGGCTGGGCTGCGATATGTCAGTGGGCAGGAGGGGACATACGCCTATGCTGCCTTAACCCATGGCTTAACTGCCTGGTGGATGCAGAGCCAACAGGAGCTTGCTTGCTCTCTGCCCACTACTGTTCTTAATGATGTCTTCTAAAAGACCAACTTTAGAGAGTTTAATTTGTATTGTAAATGTACAAAATTAAAATTGGATAAATGGAATGTTTTAAACTCTTTCAGGCTATTTGATATGTTGTATACAAACCAAATGCCTACATATGTGCAACATATCTGTCTGCATGTGATTGCCCTTGCTGATGCAGCCACAAAAGGGGGAAAGATGCTTTCTCTGTGCATTGTTTCCAAGGTCTTGGTATGCAACAGGCACATGACATGAATAGTGAGATATGTTTATAGCAAATTGCAGCCTATTAACCTAGTCCCACACTGTTCTCTCCGTGAATGGAAACCCTTGACTTCAGTATAGCCCTGTGTTTGGGCAGATACAAACATGTCCAAGGCTCGGAGTGAGATCAGATTTAAGAGAGAAAAATTAGAGGTTATCAGGCAATTGTAAACTTCCATCCTTCCTTTCTTCATGGCGAGCAGCTACTTAGGGGTCTGGCTTTGACAAGCAAGTTTGTGGGCTACAACACAACAGAAACCAGAAGTTCTTGTTTGCTATTAACAGAACCGTAATCAGTACATATTTGTATTTTATTGATGTGGATACTGGATCTGGGTCATTGTCTTGTTTTGTACAATTTAGAATCGTTCCTGTTAGTATATCCCCAAACTTATTTATTTACATGTTTTTCTTCCCTAGCAGCCTGTCACCAATTAACTGGCCGTACAGTCTGGCCTCCCTTCTGCCCTCTTGTCCCTTGAAGCCACTTTATCGTGGATGCTCCTTTGTAGTGAAGATCTGAAATCTGGAACTGCACTTACTGCAGCACAGACCGCCTCTCTGTGTACATCAGATGTACAGGATTGATTTTGCTTTCATATTCTGCATGCCTAAGTATTTCACATACAAAAGCTAGTCTTGACTGCCATTATATTTGAACGTTATGCTTCAGTTTGACCTCATTATACATGAGCCATTATACCTCCATTCTAGATGATGTGTGAAGCTTTGCTTGTTTCAAATGAGAAACTTTCAGAGTAAACGAGTACTTATCCATATGTGGTACTCTTTAAAGAAAGTGGGAACCCTATGCATGCATCTAATGCTGGAGTCCATGGAGAAAGTTCCATGGAGGATCGTTTTAAAAATGTTGCCATATCATGGCTTTCTCACATTCATGAATGCTGGCTAAATATTTTCATGGTTGCAGCTGGCCTACCCTCTGCTTTTTAGCTTGTGATTTAAGACACTCCCTTTTCTCCCGTATTGGCTTTTAGGAACGTAGCTGGCTTTGCTGCCAGTTCTCTGTTGTGAGCAGATAACTCAGCAAAGTCTCCTTTCCTGGACCGTTCTTGGAATGGTGGCTTCTTGTACTGATATTTGGATGCTGCTAAACTTACTAATAAAAATTTCACGTATATTATGTCTTACATGCCATAATGTGGTAATTGATGTTTTGGTTAACATGCAAAGCCTCATAATAACCATGTGTTTAAAAAAAAAAAAAAGTTGGATTTTACCAGCTGAAATGAAGAGAACAGTAACGAT